GGACATTGAGGCCGATCCGTACTATCCTGACTTTCTGGACAGTCAGTCCAATCTGGAGAATAACTCTAGCTTTAACAAGTTCTCCACATCTAAGGATTCTCAAGTTTTTCCCACCACAAGTACTCAGCCAACATCCAGCGAGTCCACAGTGGATACAAGGAGTTTCACAGATTTAGATAGTGGACAGCAGGTACAAGTCTACAATGATAGAAGTTTGGATACAACAGAACAGTGCTCACATACTAACAACACAGGTGAGGAGGATCCTGAATCACAAGAATTGATTAAACTTGAATATGCTCAGATTCTCTGTGATATCCGCAACGTTGTTCTGGGAACAAGATCTTACCAAGAATTGACACCAAATGGACAGGTGACATCTTATCATGAATGAGGATTAACACCACAGGGATGTGACATCATAACACAAATGAGGATTGACACCAAATGGACAGGTGACATCTTATCATGAATGAGGATTGACACCACAGGGACAGGTGACATCTTATCATGAATGAGGATTAACACTACAGGGACAGGTGACATCTTACCATGAATGAGAATTGACACCACAGGGATGTGACATCATAACACAAATGAGGATTGACATGTAAGGAACAGGTGACATCTTACCATGAATGAGGATTGACACCACAGGGATGTGACATCATAACACAAATGAGGATTGACATGTAAGGAACAGGTAACATCTTACCATGAATGAGGATTGACACCACAGGGATGTGATATCATAACACAAATGAGGATTGACATGTTAGGAACATGTGACATCTTACCATGAATGAGAATTATCACAACAGGGACATATATCTTATCATGAATGAGGATTAACACAACAGTTACATGTGATATCTTATCATGAATGAGGATTGACCCCACAGCAACATGTGATAGTCTACTGATAGGATTGATGATCGATAACCTGTAGGAATATTTAATACCTTACCACACGCGTTTGATACCGGTACTTGAGAAATCCTCTCTGTTACAATAATGACAATACATTGGCATTTGATGTTTTCTTTTGGACATTTTTGACAAATTAGGATTTATACCAAAGTGACATTTGATATTCTATATTTTTTTGTGTTTTGTCTGATCATGAGCTCAGCTAAAATGTTAATATGAACCGTTTAAATATCAACAATATTTAGTTGAAATATTCATATATGAAAAGTTTAAAGAATACTTTATTTTCAGTTTGATGAAGTCTTCAGACAGACTCAACTTTCATTATTTCTACGGAAATCTCTGAAACATGAATTATATCGAATATAGATTTTTTATTTCATTAACTATAAATCATAGTCCCTATAAGCTTTCATTGATGATCATCCTTTTAATAACTTCCTTAGAACAAAAAGTCTTGCAGTCAAATGATATTTTGATTGAAGCTTGCCAGGAGGAAGGACTGCCCACTTTGTTGAAATAAATTATCAGCTTTGAATAAATGTACCTATTTATATCATCAGAGAACATATTGACTGCTGGATATTATATCAGATTGTCACCAGCTTGATAGGGCAAAACATCATCTAATTTCACGCAAATCTCAGATATTTTAAAAATATGTTCGCCTATCTCATCTTGATTAGTCATGATTAACAGTTAAATTTACATTGACATATACAGGCAATCAGACCTCTTGTAATTATAACACAGGATAACAGTGATGTTATGTTATACAAATCCTATTGTGATACATATTTTATGCATAAAGTATTGAGAAGTCGTTAGTGTTGACAATTGTAACTTGTGAATGTGAAAAGTACAGCACTGATTGGGATAATTAAAATGAGAATGATTAAGATTTTTTACTGTTGATTTAAATGTGGGCCATCTCTGTCTATCATTACATTATCAATACTCTTCTTTTACAAATAGTTTCATAGTCTTACAAGTTTTTTTTTAACTTTTTAACCAAAATTGTATTTCTTTCTTTTTTCTTTTTCTGTTGTTTTTATGCAAATTGTACTTATTATCCTTTCCTACCTTTATGCCAGAAGTAAAAACAGCAGCAATGATACTTTTAAACTAGGAAGTTTATTTGTTGTACGTGTATGTTTCCTAGATATAGACATTGAATTATAAGTCTAATTTCAAAATTCCAAACAGGTGCTAGAAGTGGTGGATTGTTTTGTATCACAGTTATCTGGTCACTTCAATAAGAAATCAAGATTTTAAGGTTTTACTAACAAAGTGAGTTTCTATCAAATTTGAATTTGATATGTGATCATTTGTATTCATTTGTAAAAAGAATATATGTCATTAATGTCTTTACATCATTTTGTTTATCCATATTCTCAGAATTGTAGCATGATGCACAATACCACTACACTGGGCCTTGGTTTACAAAATGAAGTGCTGACTAGAAAGTCTACATGGTATATAAATATACATTTGTTAATTTTTAGGCAAATTTCTTATTGATCTTGATTAAAAATAGTATGCACAGAATGCGTATAATTGAAAATAATTATACACTTTGGAAATACCAATGTGGATGTGAGCTGTTGGACAGAATCTTGCTTGGTTATCCTTAGAATATCTCTGATATTCCAGTTTGTTTTTAATCACATTTTAATTATATATGTGAAAAATATTACTTTCAACAAAGTTAAAATTTCACTCTCTCAAAATTACTGACTCTTTAATTCAGTTTCAAGAGAAGTTGATTTGTTATGCATTGCCAACAACATCTAGATAATTAGGGCCCTGCATCAAAAGTGTGGGTGCCTTTTAGTGAATAGGTTGTCTGTTCATCTGACGATCTTTTATTATTATTATTAATAGACCAACAGTTGCACTTTTTACCCAGTGCTTCTTTGAAGGAAGTGCTTGTTTGGGAGAGAAATTTGGTTCTTGAGGTCCAAGGTCAAGGTTACAGTTTTGTTAAGACATATTACAGAGGAATAATCAGTTGAAATCAAATGAGAGAGTGCCTGGCTACAAGTCAAGGTCACCAGGTCAGATTTGAAATATCAATATTTCATGGGCAAATTATTGTCTATCAAGCAATCAACAAAACTTCAATATCAATGTAACATTCTCATTTAGAGTCTGACACATAGCCAGGCCCTTTGTGACATGTGTCAGTGCAAGATTTTTTTGTTCTAGAATAAAAATATCAAGCACACCAGAATACCGAGTCAATGCCAGCTATGTACCTCCACAATGACTAGATCATCTATAAATATTCCTCATTATTCGGTCCCTTTGCGATATTGCTGATACGTCTATAGCTGGAAAAAGCGGAAGTTGTTGGTCTGAAGTTGTTAGAAGATTTTGTTTTTAAGTTGTTAATATACCTTAAATGCTTCAGCTTGTTCATTTACATATACTAGGTTTAGTGTCTTAAAGTAAAAAATGTAAATGTATGATATAGTTTTACACTGACAAATTGTACAGCAATGTTGGGACAGAATTTGACTTAATTTATTTTGAATATTTTTCCTTGATATGAAAGGTCCAGAGTGTGTGGAGATTGGTGATCAGTTTTATATATAGTTTCTATATACTCTTCATTGTTATTGTTAAGAATGGAAGAACTTGTATTTTTACTAGTATTTCATCTACATTGATGTTACTGTGAATTTCTGTGTTCATAAATATACCTGTAATTCTTACAGGGAGAAATTCATCCAGGATGGTTTTTTTTTAATTAATTTTTAATACATTTGTTTTCCATATACATCGTCTACTTTAATAAAATTTAACATAAGTTCCTCATTGCAATCCTTAAAAATTAGGTTTCAGTGGAATAACTTCTAAAAGGTTTTCTACATTTAAATGTATATTTTCAATGTGACTAATGAAAATCTCCATTAAGTTTTAATTTGCACTAATTTCAAGATTGTTCTCTGCAGATTAAATTCGACATTACAGAGTTATGTCCCTTGCACTTGCAAATTTCAAGCAATTTCTAGCTTCTGCTGATTATTTCAGACATTTTGGATTGAACTTTGATGCATGTATTATGGAAAATGGCGGGTCATGTTTGTAGTTGGTTTGGGTTCGATGATATTTAATATTTAATAATGGACTCTGAAAATTTCAAACAGTTTACATTTTCAATTTTGTCCCCGCTGGGGTATTCATGTTGTAATGCCATATCTAGTTCTACATATGGCTAATTCTCAGGAATGAGAGTAGATTTTGACAGAATTTTGTCAGAAGCATCCTTGGGCAAAGGAAAATGTGTTTTGTATAAATGGTGGATGTTGGCCCCCTGTGGCAAGAGGGGCGAGGCCCAATAGAAGATCCTATTCCCCCTGTAGGACACATTGGGTTTTGACAAAAAAATTAGTCTGAAGCATTATTGGTTAATGTTTAATCCATTTTGTGTGAATGTTAGGTCTTGTGGCCCTGTGGGGCAGGTGGGGCGGGTCTCAAAAGGGAAATAGAGTAAATTCTTTAAAATCCAAAACTCCTGTAGGAATAAATGGATATTACCCAAATTTAGTTCCAAGTATTTTTAAGTGAAGGTGGACATTTTCTGTATAAACACTTCCTCCCAGCCCCCTTGGGTGGGGGCCATTTGGGAAATATCAATTTTTTAAATGCCTTCTGCTGAACAAATATATTGTACAAGTTTGATCTGAAGCAATTTTACCCGGTATTTATAATGGGTCTAACTTCTGTTTGACAAGGCTGGGACCATACAGGGAAATTATATCCCGAATTACTGATCATGTTTGAAAGTTTTTATCAAACGGCTGAATAGCTAAATTAACCAAGTGGGTGATGCATGCCCCTTTGCCTCTTTTTTCTTAACTTATTTGTCTCAAAATTATCTACAAATAACTAAGACAGTGGGAACATGCAAATAGGAAATTACTGGTTACTGACTGTCAGAGACCTGAATTAGAACAGCTCATCATGTGGTTAAAAGTGCACATGAGCTTTCCTATTTGAGATATGGTTTAACTAGAAGCAAATCTTAGACAGTCCTTCTAATGTCATTAAAAAACCATCAACACTTTCTACACACTGAATATTCATTCTTTAATCAATTTTGGCAAGGAAGGCATATATACATACCTGGTATGTATTAATCGTTATGACAAAGGTTTCAAATAACAGAAAACACATAATATGTATTCCGATATAGCAATATTCCTTAAAAGATCTATCAGTACAAGTGAAAACATTTAAATTGTAATCATATTGACAATACAAAAGCACCAAGCACCATGTAGAGAAGAAATCAACAGATACATGATCTTATTTCCATGTATATGGTTTAAATTTGAATCAACCAATTAAATATTTAAATTGTATCATCTTGACAATACAAAAGCACCCAGCACCATGTAGAGAAGAAATCAACAGATATATAATTTTAGTTCCATCTATATGGTTTAAATTTGAATCAACCAATTGAATATGTAGCTTGTTACATCACAAAAAAAAAGGAACAAGTTAAGTAGTGATGAAATTAACCAGTGTGTACAACTGTTTATAGACATATAAGTACATGTAAAAAGAAAAATGTTGGCATATCAAGATCTGAAAATAGTACTTGTCTTGTAAAACTTATAACAACAATCAGCCAAAAATCTTACTGGACACCTAGTACTAAAACACACTGTATCAAAACACATAATGTGGTAAAAACATACACTAGTGAAGTGGAAAGTAAAAAAATAAATTTCAGATGAACAGTTAATTTCTGATTTTGACACATTGGATATATATATTGGACAATTTTTTTATTTTTTTTTATTTTATGGTTTGCAAACATTGAAAGTCAAATTCAAGTTAAATTTTGAAGGATTTCCCTTCAGAATCTGCAATGCCTTGTCAATTCATGTTTTTACCGATCAGTAAATAGTGACTGATGCCAAAAACTGCCAGAAAATAACAACTTTAAAGGGAAAAACATTACATTATTTTGTATTAATTTTTCTTGCTGAATGATTTCACACATATGCAGAAAAAAAGGATCCATATGTGATCAGATGCCTTGATGTGTGTGTGACTAAAATATTAAACTACCGGTATTCTGTATAGGGACTAGGTAATTCACTTACAAATGGCACAGTGTACAAACAACAGAACCTCCCCTGAAGAAACTAATGTAATATTTAGCTTATATAACTTACACTTATAAATATGGCACTTAAAATCAAGGTTTATGACTATGTAAATAAAATGTATAAGGAATTCAGTGGTAAAGTTTATAAACTAGCAACTTCAATCTGAGTAACCTGTTTAAGATAAAAATATATGATGTATATAGCACTGTTTATATTCAACAAAACAATTCTCAGGGAATCTAAGTTAACCATTCAAAATAGAACAAATAGTTTGTAGTGTAAACAGAATGTAAGCATGAGATGAAAAAAAATTCAGATATAAAAAATCATATATTGATGGATGATTTACTGTATATATGGAAGAGACAAATTATGCCTAAAATAAATTGCACAACTACACTACAGCTTACATTGAAGACAATGGATGGTTCATAATGACATTTTCTGCAAACTTGAAATTATATTCTTTATACATGTACTACACAAATGCCATTACTCCAGGTATATTGCTTAAAGAAAAACAGCATGCTACAGGCCCAGTATCAAGTCAAGACCCTTGGCCATTTGGTTATTGAGAAGAGGTTGTTTGGAGATTTTAACACATTTCACACCGGTGACCTTGCCAATAGGTCAAGGTCAATAATATGAACTTGGAAGTTATTTATTTCAGACTGCAAGCCTGATTTCTGCACCCTGGTCCATTTTCATTATTGAGAAGAACTCCTGTGATCTAGAAAATGGGTCAAGGTAATTTTGAACAAACTTGGTGATCTCCATCCAAGAATGCTAAAGGCCCATAAAAGTACCATGGACCTTTTGATTATTGAGAAGATGTTCTTTGAAGATTTTAACATATTTTACCCCTGTGACCTTGAAAGCATATCAAGGTCATTCATATCAACAAACTTGGTAGCCCTTCATCCAATAATGCCACAGGCCTAGTATCAGCACCCTTGGCATTTTTGTTAATGAGAAGAAGTTGTTTTAACATTTTAACATATTTCTTCTAAATACCTAAAAGGCCAAAGGTCTTGATATTGGGCCTGCTAAAATCTTCAAATGACGTCTCAATAACACAAAGATCCAGGCTGTTGATATAAGTTCTCTAATATAAATGGATGAAGGGATACTGATTTGTTGAAATAATTAACCTTGATATTCTAGATCTCTTGGGCTAAGTGAGTTGAGATCTTGCAATTTCTTTTCGACAAGCAATATGTCCCGAGTAAAGGCATTTGTGTAGTGCATTTATAAAGAATATGATTTCAACTTTGCAGGAAATGTCTGTATGAACCAACCAATGTCTTCTAATCTAGGTAACCTGTAGAGTAGTTGAGCAATTTATTTTAGGCCTATTTGGCCTCTTTCACATACAGATATTTAAAGTCAAATGACCCTTAGGCCCATGGGATTTATGTTTAAAGGATCTGGTTCACATATATTTTGATAACTACAAAAAGTTGTGTATACAAATTAGGAAGAAAACTGTTTAAAATACTCCATGTTGTACCAATTCAATCACCTCATCTTTCAGTCACATGGAAGGAAAACTAACATACTAGGTATCTTAAGTCTACTGTCTTTGGTCATGCCAAGGAGCAGAATGAGGTGAGGTGAAGGCCTCCTATTCTACTGAAGAGGAGACCAAGGGGTCGGAATCAGTAGTCGTCTATGTCCTCCTGTTGCCTGGTCATCTGTATTACAAAAATAAATATCACTCTTACCAAAACAGCTTTAAAAGGAAAGAAATGAACAATTGAAGTACATTGATTACATACCTGGCAGGTATTGCCATTTAGTGTACCTATGTCATATATATATAATATTGTGTTTTGAGTTCCCATTTTATAAGTGATCTACGAAACTAGATAAAGAATATTTTATTTTGGTGGGCTACCATGAAAATGTTTTTGTGAATTTCTAAAATCATGAACTGGAAACTCATGCCTTAACTCTCTACCAATCAGAAACCAGGCATGCAGTACCCCTTCTGAAACTTCCCGCGAGGCAGGCATATTTCTAACTTTTTACCTTGTGACAATGGTGTAATAAAATGTGTTATACAATATAATTGTGGCAGGTTTTAAATGTGCTAGAGATAAAGTGACCCATTAGCTGTGCACTTGAGGGAATTTTCCTTTACATATAAAGCTTGATTAGTAAAGAGGCCAACTCATTCACCAGCAGTTCCAGATTTGAACCCTGACAAGCACGCTACCCCTTTCCCGTTACATATAATATACTCGTGTAATATATCTAAATATATGCATGTTTACCTCATACAATATAGCCAAAATTGTGATGTCAATGACATTACAGAGCTGAAAGGACTTCAGGTTTAATGTGGAAAATACATTTTCTGCAATAGCTGCCAAAATGATTAACATGTGATATTAGGCAAAGAACTGTCAATAATTACTGTACCTGAATTGTCTCCCTTTATCTGGTTTTCCACAGCCTGCTGAAGAGAGTTATGAAACCACAGCTGGTACCCTTAAAATAATAATTATGTATTCCATGAATTCCAAACATGATCTAGAATTTCATTCAAATGGTTTCTGTGTAGGTATTGCCATAAATAAAAAAATGTATATTTTTAAGTGAAATCGTCCTACACTTATATCTTAATGAGAGGTGATAAATTCTGGTAAAGTAATACAGAGTAATGAGATAAACATATACGTAATGGTTCATGTATATAAGACTCCCAGTACTGAAGCAATCATCATTAACATTATCAGTAAAACAACTAACACTAGTACACATACAATGGGTGGCAGAAAGTTTACCATGAGAGACAAATGTTAAAATATCCCACCTGTGTTGGTTGGTCCAAGAACACTTTGAAATGTGCCCAGAAGTTTTGCATTGCCTTTATCGGAAGAAAATTTGAGCCCTGCTCCCTGTTTGATTGTGTCCAGTTCATAAACACCTGTAGTTAGATAAACCATTTAAAGGGGACTTATTTTACAGGTATCAATAGAGATAATTTCGACTGTTCAGTCTCAAACTGGACTTTGCGAACAAGGAGAAAATACCAGCATAGAACAAAGATCTTCATTATAGTTCAAGAACTGATGTAGACAAGGGCTAGATATGAACCAATAAAGGTTTTTTTGTTCCTATTCAGCCCTTGTTTTTATCAAAAATAAAAACAAAATTTACACCAATACCCTGGGAAAAAAACCAAGAATAACAAGTTCTGATCGGGTAATTGCCCTCTGATTTAGATTTATCGACATATCTGTCATGTAAATTACTTCTAAATTGCTAATCTAAGTAAATAATGTTACTTTAAAAACAAAGTAAAAAATACAATAAAACCACCAGCTGTCTTCGTACATAATACAATAAAACCACCAGGTGTCTCCGTACATAATACAATAAAACTACCAGGTGTCTCCGTACATAATACAATAAAACCACCAGGTGTCTCTGTACATAATACAATAAAACCACCAGGTGTCTCCGTACATAATACAATAAAACCACATGGTGTCTGTACATAATACAATAAAACCACCAGGTGTCTCCGTACATAATACAATAAAACCACCAGGTGTCTGTACATAATACAATAAAACCACCAGGTGTCTCTGTACATAATACAATAAAACCACCAGGTGTCTCCGTACATAATACAATAAAACCACCAGGTGTCTCCGTACATAATACAATAAAACCACCAGGTGTCTCTGTACATAATACAATAAAACTACCAGGTGTCTCCGTACATAATACAATAAAACCACCAGGTGTCTCCGTACATAATACAATAAAACCACCAGGTGTCTCCGTACATAATACAATAAAACCACCAGGTGTCTGTACATAATACAATAAAACCACCAGGTGTCTCCGTACATAATACAATAAAACCACCAGGTGTCTCCGTACATAATACAATAAAACCACCAGGTGTCTGTACATAATACAATAAAACCACCAGGTGTCTCCGTACATAATACAATAAAACCACCAGGTGTCTGTACATAATACAATAAAACCACCAGGTGTCTCCGTACATAATACAATAAAACCACCAGGTGTCTGTACGTAATACAATAAAACCACCAGGTGTCTCCGTACATAATACAATAAAACCACCAGGTATCTCTGTACATAATACAATAAAACCACCAGGTGTCTCCGTACATAATACAATAAAACCACCAGGTGTCTCCGTACATAATACAATAAAACCACCAGGTGTCTGTACATAATACAATAAAACCACCAGGTGTCTCCGTACATAATACAATAAAACCACCAGGTGTCTCTGTACATAATACAATAAAACCACCAGGTGTCTCCGTACATAATACAATAAAACCACCAGGTGTCTCCGTACATAATACAATAAAACCACCAGGTGTCTGTACATAATACAATAAAACCACCAGGTGTCTCCGTACATAATACAATAAAACCACCAGGTGTCTGTACATAATACAATAAAACCACCAGGTGTCTCTGTACATAATACAATAAAACCACCAGGTGTCTCTGTACATAATACAATAAAACCACCAGGTGTCTCTGTACCAACCTCTAGCATGAAAACATGAAATAGAATGTTTTCCCAATAATATCCTGAATTATTCTACCTTTTTCATTTCTCGACAGTTTGACGTTCTACAGAATCGTCCTTTGAAGTTGGGCTGGCAGAGAGATTTACATCATTCTATGTTACCTTTGCTATAATGTCAAACTAGACGATGACAGTATAGCAGATTATACATTAGACCTAACACTGATGTTAAATTTGACAATCAGAATCTGTTTTATGATATCTTTGAACAAGACTAGACTGATCTGACACTGTTCTTTATTTACCTTGGAGGTCAGACTGGACAAGACTGATCTGACACTGTTCTATATTTACCTTAGAGGTCAGACTGGACAAGACTGATCTTACACTGTTCTATATTTACCTTGGAGGTCAGACTGGACAAGAAGAGTGATATGATACTGTTCTACATTTACTTTAGAGGTCAGACTGGACAAGACTGATCTGACACTGTTCTATATTTACCTTGGAGGTCAGACTGGACAAGAGTGATCTTACACTGTTCTATATTTACCTTGGAGGTCAGACTGGACAAGACTGATCTTACACTGTTCCATATTTACCTTGGAGGTCAGACTGGACAAGAGTGATCCAACACTGTTCTACATTTACCTTGGAGGTCAGACTGGACAAGAGTGATCCAACACTGTTCTACATTCACCTTGGAGGTCAGACTGGACAAGAGTGATCCAACACTGTTCTACATTCACCTTGGAGGTCAGACTGGACAAGAGTGATCCAACACTGTTATATATTTACCTTGGAGGTCAGACTGGACAAGAGTGATCCAACACTGTTCAACATTCACCTTGGAGGTCAGACTGGACAAGACTGATCTTACACTGTTCTACATTCACCTTGGAGGTCAGACTGGACAAGAGTGATCCAACACTGTTATATATTCACCTTGGAGGTCAGACTGGACAAGAGTGATCCAACACTGTTATATATTTACCTTGGAGGTCAGACTGGACAAGAGTGATCCAACACTGTTCTATATTTACCTTGGAGGTCAGACTGGACAAGAGTGATCCAACACTGTTCTACATTCACCTTGGAGGTCAGACTGGACAAGAGTGATCCAACACTGTTCTACATTCACCTTGGAGGTCAGACTGGACAAGACTGATCTTACACTGTTATATATTTACCTTGGAGGTCAGACTGGACAAGAGTGATCCAACACTGTTCTACATTCACCTTGGAGGTCAGACTGGACAAGACTGATCTGACGCTGTTCTATATTTACCTTAGAGGTCAGACTGGACAAGACTGATCTTACACTGTTCTATATTTACCTTAGAGGTCAGACTGGACAAGACTGATCTGACACTGTTCTATATTTACCTTGGAGGTCAGACTGGACAAGAGTGATCTGACACTGTTCTATATTTACCTTGGAGGTCAGACTGGACAAGACTGATCTTACACTGTTCTATATTTACCTTGGAGGTCAGACTGGACAAGAGTGATCCAACACTGTTCTACATTTACCTTGGAGGTCAGACTGGACAAGAGTGATCCAACACTGTTCTACATTCACCTTGGAGGTCAGACTGGACAAGACTGATCTGACACTGTTCTATATTTACCTTAGAGGTCAGACTGGACAAGACTGATCTTACACTGTTCTACATTTACCTTGGAGGTCAGACTGGACAAGAGTGATATGATACTGTTCTACATTCACCTTGGAGGTCAGACTGGACAAGACTGATCTGACACTGTTCTATATTTACCTTGGAGGTCAGACTGGACAAGACTGATCTTACACTGTTCTATATTTACCTCGGAGGTCAAACTGGACAAGAGTGATATGATACTGTTCTACATTTACCTTGGAGGTCAGGCTGGACAAGAGTGATCTGACACTGTTCTACATTTACCTTGGAAGTCAGACTGGACAAGAGTGATCCAACACTGTTATATATTTACCTTGGAAGTCAGACTGGACAAGACTGATCTGACACTGTTCTATATTTACCTTGGAAGTCAGACTGGACAAGACTGATCTGACGCTGTTCTATATTTACCTTAGAGGTCAGACTGGACAAGACTGATCTTACACTCTTCTATATTTACCTTGGAGGTCAGACTGGACAAGAGTGATCTGACACTGTTCTATATTTACCTTGGAGGTCAGGCTGGACAAGACTGATCTGACACTGTTCTATATTTACCTTGGAGGTCAGACTGGACAAGAGTGATCTGACACTGTTCTATATTTACCTTGGAGGTCAGGCTGGACAAGACTGATCTGACACTGTTCTATATTCACCTTGGAGGTCAGGCTGGACAAGAAGAGTGGTATGTTACTGTTCTATACTTACCTTGGAGGTCAGACTGGACAAGAAGAGTGATCTTACACTGTTCTACATTCACCTTGGAGGTCAGACTGGACATGACTGATCTGACACTGTTCTATATTTACCTTGGAGGTCAGACTGGACAAGACTGATCTGACACTGTTCTACATTTACCTTGGAGGTCAGACTGGACAAGAAGAGTGATATGATACTGTTCTACATTTACCTTGGAGGTCAGACTGGACAAGACTGATCTGACACTGTTCTATATTTACCTTGGAGGTCAGACTGGACAAGAGTGATCCAACACTGTTCTACATTTACCTTGGAAGTCAGACTGGACAAGACTGATCTGACACTGTTCTATATTTACCTTGGAAGTCGGACATTTATATTTACCTTGGAGGTCAGACTGGACAAGACTGTTCTATATTTACCTGACACTGTTCTACATTTACCTTGGAGGTCAGGCTGGACAAGATCTGACACTGATATATTTACTGTTCTACATTCATCTTGGAGGTCAGGCTGGACAAGAAGAGTGGTATGTTACTGTTCTATATTTACCTTGGAGGTCAGACTGGACAAGAGTGATCCAACACTGTTCTATATTTACCTTGGAGGTCAGACTGGAAAAGACTGATCTGACACTGTTCTACATTTACCTTGGAGGTCAGGCTGGACAAGAAGAGTGATATGATACTGTTCTACATTCACCTTGGAGGTCAGGCTGGACAAGAAGAGTGATATGATACTGTTCTACATTTACCTTGGAGGTCAGGCTGGACAAGAAGAGTGGTATGTTACTGTTCTATACTTACCTTGGAGGTCAGACTGGACATGACTGATCTGACACTGTTCTATATTTACCTTGGAGGTCAGACTGGACAAGACTGATCTGACACTGTTCTACATTTACCTTGGAGGTCAGACTGGACAAGAAGAGTGATATGATACTGTTCTACATTCACCTTTGAGGTCTGGCTGAACAAGACTGCTGTCACCAACGGTTTGAAGTAACATGTTTTCCTGACGAGACATCATTGGTAATATCTTGCTGAAGTAACTGTTGATCCAATGAGAATCTCCAGCCAGAGCCTGTCGTACTGCAGCCCGCTGGGTCAAGTTATCTGATGGATAAGTGTAGTCATGGAGATTATGTCAATGTAACAGTATCAATATACGAGACAATAATAATACTACAATAACTCCATGCCAGTAGGAATGTACTTCCTCAGTTTTTAATTCTAGTGCAACAAAAACTCAGCACACAAGTTGTAAGAAATTCATATTTCAATGTCATAGATCAATGTCAAGGTCACTGTTACTATTAATAGTCAACCTATGTTATACCACAATTATACTGAATAAGCCTCACTCTCCTTAAGAATAATTCATCATTGTTTTCTGTACGATCATGATATATTACATTTGAATGAGAAACTTGTAGATTAAATATCATCTGGACAATTTTTCAATGAGAAAGAAACTTTTTGTATTAATTTGTTTGAATATGACAGTTTACATGTATTATCTACTCTAATGATTTATCACATAACCTAATGCATAGCTAAACAGTTGATCTAATTTGATATTTCATATATGAAGCTTTGCTGACTATTTTTCACAATTTTTAACTACCAATGAGAATTTTTTTTATATTCATATATGTAGCTTTGCTGACTGTTTTTCACAATTTTTAACTACCAATGAGAATTTTTTTTATATTCATATATGTAGCTTTGCTGACTGTTTTTCACAATTTTGAACTACCAATGAGAATTTTTTTTATATTCATATATGTAGCTTTGCTGACTATTTTTCACAATTTTGAACTACCAATGAGATAATTATACTACCAGTTTAATAACAATATATTTCATAGATGAAAAGAGAAAAACATGAGGCCTAGCAGCCTTAATGGTCACCTGAGATAAGCAATATTGAATATAAAGGTTATATGATAGCTTTCCAGTGTTATGAATAGTGACACTGTATATATAGTAAGCCAGTGTCATTACATGCATATCATCAAAACTGTCATCCGATACTAATAATTCTTACAAAATATTTCAAGCGATAAGTGAACAACATTATGATCAAAAACAGGTTTTCTATAAACATTTCAGATTTAGAAATAAAATTCCTCAGGAAGAAATGTGAGACCCATTTTGTTAATAAAAGCATCTGAAAATGCTTCCTTTCATACAGAGCATTTGATTCTACCATATCTGGATGTTGAAAGAAAGATTTTTGAACCAGAGCCAATTTGACTCATTTTGGCCCAGCCCATCAGCCACTGGGTCAGTCAGGATCAGTATGGGCATACCATCAAGCCTTCATCCTTCTCCCATAATTCTAACCAAGTATATTGTCGATGGAAATTAAACAAATTATGCTCAAAATCTAGTTTTCCTATTCAAAATAAACTATAGTAAACTTTACCCCTTCCCCTTGGGATAATGTGAGACCTGGGGCCTTGAAATTCACAATTTTGGTAAAGCACCTCAACATGCTTCCATTCATGGAGAGCATTTGATTCTACCATGGGTGTTGAAAAGAATTCTTAAATCCAAGTCATTTTGACCTCTCCCCTCAGGCCACTGTGGGTTTGAGGACTGCATAATTCTCACTTCTGGTTCATCTTAGGCTAGGAAAGTTTTCTTCAAAATTTCATTGATATCAGTTCAAGGCTTTTTGAGAAATCGAACATGTTAAATTGTTTACGGACACACAATGCCGCACAAAAATGATCATATTAGGTCACTTTGAGACTTTGTCTCGGGTGACCTAAAAATGGATCACATGTATCAGCTTTGCATGCTAGGAAATTACTTACCATATTCCCAAATATGGACAACATCATTGATACCACCAATTTCGCTAACCCAGTATCCAATGAGAGGGGAGTGAGCAGTTCTCAGATGTATCCATTCTTTGCTCAGTTCAATAAATGGTTTCATATCCTTTGGCCAGATTTGATAAACTCTCAGTTCATAGAGCTTGCCTAGTCCATTGCTTGTACTGGAGCTGTGTCGACTCAGCTTCCCAGGCAGCTGGTGACAGAATGGGGTCTGCAGAAAAACAAACTGTTTTCAGTACACATGAAACTTCAAGTCAATGAAAGCCTTCCCTATAAGTTTAAAAAACCATTGACAAACTTGATAGCAATTATTGCATGAAGAACACATGACTTCATTTAAAAATTTATGTTTATCAATGTAAAATTTTAAAAACTCAAGGAGAGGACTTGGGACTCTACAACTAAAGAGCATTAAACTACATAATTATTCAATCATTATCCAAGCACTCCCCCATCCACCCCCCCAACCCCAAAGTAATAAAAGAAAAAAAAAGAAAAAAACAAGGACATAGTCATCAAAATCCTCCACTCCTGTTCATTTTTAAAATATATAAAGTGAGCTACAAGGAAATCTAAAGTATTGAAACCATTTATCGTTTATGTTCAGTTTAAAGTTCTGTTGAAAGTGATCATTATAATAACAATTTAGAAGCATAATACTGTGAATATTAAAACCAGCTTATCATACCTTTATATTCCCTTCTTTTATGTTAATGATAGAATATTTGTCACTTAATTTCAGTGATGATGGATCAATTAATGATTTTATTACCGCTCAAGCATGACAAAACAGTGAAACGGTTTATACACATTAATAAAATGCAATACAGCATCCAATAGTCAGATATGTAAAATAGCAAGAAAGTTATTATCAGTACAACAAATCTTAACCAGTGATAGTGCAACATCACTTTAAACATTAATATTCTAAAAACATTTTGGAGATTCAATGTCATAAGTTTGTTAAGGCATTTTACCAACTGGTGGAAAGACTAATTGTTATTGTTCTGTTTCTTATCATTATTATTCTTATGCCATGATTTTGTGGGGTCTAAATTTCCAAATCAGTGAAAGATATGTTTATAGTCTTTTAAAGGTCTCATATTATTACTTCAGAAGATATCCTGTGCAAAGCAATCAGTCATTCCCGTCACAGCTGCCTCTTCAGATATTTGCAGAATTAGCTGATAATCAAACTTAGGAGAATGGTTAAGGTACTAAGTCTGCTAAGCAAGTCTTATAAAATATTTGATCATTCCATTGAAAGAGATGTGGAAAGTGTTTCAAGAAATCAGCCAATCAGGTTAGAGCACCATCATTAAATATGCATGGAATTCACAGCTGATTGAACTTGAGTGAGGAGACCTATTTCCATTCATTTTTAAATCTTTTAGTTTTTTTATCATTTTCTAGCATGATTATCACACTTTATCAATTATACAGAATCATTAGTACGTTATGATTCTTTAAATGTATCCAGCACAATGTCGCCAACTTGCCTGATATTGACTGCATCATGACTTGTTTAAATTATGACATATGCTACACTTGACTGGTGTTTCTTCATGATTGATCACTACTTAAAATGTTCAAAATCAGTATCTGGATCCACTACAGTCCACAAGGGCAGTCAGAAATGGGTTATGCTGGCTGATTGGAACAAAAATTAAGTATGAAAAATAACAAAGGACAACAAGAGAGTTATGGTTTTTGTGCACTGCTCTCATACTCGTTGAGATCTCCTTACCTCGAACCTTTCATGTTGATATCTCTTATAGTTTTTGTGTAATGCTCCAGGCAAAATTCAAGTATGAAAAATAACAAAGGGCAATAACTCCTACATAATCACAAGAGAGTGATGGTATTGGTGCACTGCACTCCTTGTTGTGATCCATCTACCTATGAAGTTTTGTGTTGATAAATCTTATTGTTTTTGTGTTATGCTCCGGACAAAATTATGGATGGACAGATGAACAAAGTGGCGACTATATGTTCTTCCTTCGGTGAGCATGAAAATGTGATACCTACATAGAACTGATTATTATGTCATATTCTTTGATGAACCTTTAAAACATCCTGTCACCCTTGATTTTTAAGGGCTAGACCAGAGCTTAGATGATTTGAGGTTGGCAATACTGCTATCAATAGGGTACATCTTTATCAAATATGTAATCATTTTATGTAGTGCTGAGCTACATACTTCAGTGTGTCAATTATGTTGGTGGTACTATATAGACTGTATACACAGACCGCATCAAGTGAAAGCTAGAGAATACTGAGAGGCATTTGATGGAGCTTTGAGAGATTAAGACATTATCTAACAGGAAAAAACCTGTTCCTTTTACGAAAGGAGAGTATCCTATCCTACCCAGTCTAGTGAAGATTGTGTTGATATTCACAGTGAGTGCAATATACAAGGAAGGGGGAAGCTCTTAGAAAACAAAGAAATGAAACACTTTGTATCAAATGTTGCATTATTGTATTGCATGACGATGTCTTCCGGGGAAAGCATGAAACAGGAAAATCTTGTGCACATCAGTATTGTGACATTGAGTTATACTGCTTGTAATATTGTTAGGTAGTCTTCATTGAGACACATGATTTTCCGATATTTTGATTAATTTCTGATAGCATTAAACAATGGATTGGCTGACAGAAGTTCACAGGGGTCAGGCTATTGCAATGATTATGCAAGATCAAAGGCAAATACAGGTTGCCAGACATTTCAGTGTCCATATTTGCATTATAGAACATCTTGTTAGATGTCTAGAGGAAACTGGGTGGGTTGCTGACACACCTAGGTCTGGGCATCCGCATGTGACCTCACAACGTCAGGACAGGTTTATGCGTCTCACGTATTTGCACAATCGGCACCTTCTGCCCCTTACTGCTGCTCGTCGTCAGCGTGGTGTGTAGTTTCAGTGTAGTATGATAAAGTGAAGCCCATGGTAAGGGAAGCGTTACACTATTTTCTTACTAATTAACTTTTTTCACCAACTTTTTTTATCCCTTGGGGAGGGGGTAATATTTACTTTATTTTATATAGGAAAATTACATTTTTGAGCATCATTTTTTTAACTGGTATTTTCTTTCAGAAGTAGTTCAAACTTGGTTAGAATTGTTTTATTTTTAGTTTAAGCTGACAGTCCGATGAGATGCACATATTGACCTTGACTGACCCCCAGGGGCTGAAAGGCGTTGCCAAAAATGGGTCAGATTGACTGAAATTTCAAAGATGTTCTACTGTTCCTGGATGAAATTTTATACAGAAAAATTCAAATCTGGTGTAATTTCTTTGATTCAAATATGGGTCAGCATAAAGTATATATAACTTACATTTGCATTAAGTGTACAATATAGTTAAAGTTATATGTTTTTTTTTTTTTTTAACAAAATCATTTCCACAACATATCGCATGAAGCATTATGATTCAGGTGACAGTTAAGGCCCTTGGACCTCTGGGATATTTATTTATTTTTGTGCTGGGATAAGAGCACAAGACCAAGAGCTAGTTTTGATATAAGTAATGTTTGCAGGTGATTGCATTAGTAAGCAATCTTATGGTATAAAATTCCTGATCATATTACGACAGACAGCTGGTAGATTTGTATGCGTAGACATGTACATGCATACGTCAGATGTCACATATTTTATGTGGGTCTTTTCACTTACGTTCTCATTTACAAGTATACAAGCTTGTTCAATTTCTTAGTACATTAAGTTCCAGTTTTTGTTTGGGGCAATCAACCATGATGCAAATAATGTATGTACATCCTTATCCATGCATGACAAAGTGCTATCAATTTCATATAAACATATTCAAGGGATAAAGAAACGCTCAGTAAACTTTGAAGATGATTCTAGGCAAGATGTTCCCCATACCTGGGATTTGAGAAGATGATTTTTAACGTTTCTGAGGCCCCTAAGGGTTGGGTACCATATTATTTACAATTTTGGTGCACTTTTAGCCGTGGAACATTTTTGTAAAATTTCATTGACATTGGTTCTGGAGATTTCCAGGAGTAGTTGAAAATGTAAAAATTTTATGATGCACGAGGCTGCACAAAAGGGAATCTCAATAGGTCACGTTGCCTCAGGTGACCTAATAAATTATTTAAGGAAAATAAAATAACTATTTATAGTCAATGTAACCAATATTATTATGTAGCAAAATAAGCGTTCCTGAAATTGAAAATCTGTGCCATAAAATTTGTTCAATCAAATATGGAACTCTTTCAGGATATAAGTCAATAATTGTGCATTAAATTATATAAATTCAGCCATGTGTGTAATTTCATAAGCTAATAACACAATTGACTGAACATGTATACCACCACTCTTAAATCAGGTGGTGATAAAATTGTGTATGTCATACCCGGCCCCAAAACCTGTACCAAGGAAATTCAGAAATAATTAATATATCACTAATAAAAGGGATAATAAATCTCAAATTTTCTACATTAATCTACTGAAGTGTTTTGAAAATCTGTCACTTTTTTCATATCACAGCTAATTTACGGTTTTGATTTTTTTTCCAATTCCAAACAATAATTATATTATTCTGATTTTAAAGATTTAGGTTCCGCTCAGAAAAGAGGCGAACTTCACATTTAAACTCTCGCGGGTCGTTTGTTTCCTTGGTAAGATCACTCCTCCAGTCAGATGAATGTTTGTTATAAAGTGAAAAATATGTAGAAACTTCAGCCATCCTTAGTATAAAAAATTACCCTCTAACCTTAAATCACTCTCGGCTTCAATTTGCACGTTTTACTGCACATGTAGATATCGAAAAAGATATTCTCCATTTTCTTAAAGTGCATAACTCACTTGTAAATTCCGTACAGATCGACAGATGCCACGTATAAAAACTTGAGACTGCATGGCCATGTTGCGAATTTATTTCTGGTTCAGCTCTGCTAACGTTTTCATCAACATCACTCAGGTCATAGGTCAACGGTTGCCAGACCAAGATAAGATATGGTAGAATAAATTTCATTGGTGTTTTATCCACTAGGTGCAATGTTTCATCCAATCACAAGATTCGTGTCATGTTGAACTAGGACGAAGAATAAAAATGGACGGCGATTGTAAACAGTGATGTTTTGACAGGTTTTAGAAGGTATTTTATTTATTTTGAAAAGGAATATTTGTGTTCTTTTATTATTGTTTAATGAAATCATTGTTATAGATCCCAAATATTTTAACGGTAATCTAAAAATAATATAAAAGAATTATTTTAAAATCTCGATTAATGAACTACTGGGCGCTAAATATGTCCCAGGACACTGATTAGGTACACTGTATAGCATTATATCGACCTAGCCAATAATTTTGGAAAGTACATGCCTATGGTGAGTGTCACTGACCATGTGTTTACATATATTGATATACCTGAACAGTTAATTGAAAAGTAAAGACAATCAAAATTACAACTTTGAGGAAGCATGTTTTATGGCTTCATACACATACAGAACTTGAATAATATCATATTGACACAATTCAATATTACTTTGAAGAAAGAGTGACCAAGATCCATCATGAGTGGTTGGAAGGGTTTGGAAGGTGATGACCTCATTCAGAACCTCCGTCACCTTCTTATCAACTTTGACCCCCACATCCGAGAGGCTGGCTCATCAGATCAGGTAGAGGAGGCCCTGGTTCATATGGAGGAAAATGATGAAAACTTCCACAGGTACTATGATTATATATCACTGGTAATCGTCTTTCGTTTGTTCCATAATCTGGAAGATATTTTAATTGCATTTTTATGAGGAAAAAATTAAACTGACATCTTCGTACATTTACAATAAGAAAGGTAATACATGTATTTCTTCAACATCAAATTTGGATTACAAGAATGCAGAGAGTGTATATGATCTTATAACTTTTATCAAACAAGTCATAAAATTGTACTTTGTTATTTTAAAAGGCACATTGAAATGGAAAAAGGGTTGCATACTTCACATGTTGAATGGAAACAAAATTAGGATCCTTTGTATCACACAATTATCAATTATTGAGGCAAATTTTGTAGAAAACAGACATTTGCACAATAGACTTGAAGTCATTCTGGCTTTTATATCTCCATTGTTACATAATAGAGTTATCAGTTAGTTTGTGACACCATTTTATCATCCAAACCTAACATTACAATAGGTTATGTAATGTGTAATTTGCAAAAATAAGATATGAATATAACCTCTAAATAACAAGGATTATAGATATGTAATTTCCTGAAGATGGCTACTTAAATAAAGCATGAAAACATTAGTGAATTTCAACTTTATTTATCCTATCAGCTTCTCTTTATCTTTTATAAACCCAGGTATACATTTCTGTATATGTCGTAGGTTAAGTGAGCTATATTGGAAAGGATATTTCGGGAGAAGGCATATAACAGTGTATCAGAAAACTGTTATGTTATTACCTATGCATTGGCATTTTAATTGTGCATTTGTATTTTGTCCAAAAAAAAAAAAAACTTATCATTCAAGTATTTCCAGAATGATATACCATACTCTTAAAAAAAAGTATATTTATGAAATTACACTTGACAGTGCACCAAACTTACGTTTAGAAATATCATATAATTTTAAAGATTAGAACTTATTCTTTTTGTTCGTCCATATCACATCTGATATTCCATTTCTCTCTCTCTCTCTCTCTCTCTCTCTCTCTCTCTCTCTCTCTCTCTCTCTCTCTCTCTCTCTCTCTCTCTCTTATTATCTTGTATTTTGTGTGAATGTTGGTATGTGTGTCTTATTATTTTTAAATACAGTGTATCATGCAAAAGTTTGAAAGAAAAGATGCAATAGATATGATTTTAAAAAGATTTACCCATGTTTCCTAAATATCAGGACTCAGTCTTTGCTTGCATTTTTATATCAAGTAATTGCCAATATTAGCTTAAACTATTCAGTGTTATTAAACTGATGTGACCTGCACAGTGTATACTACTATCATTATGGAATCATGGTGGTTTGGTGAGTTAACAAATCGTGACCAAGTCTTCTAGGAAAAGTAGGAGTCAAGGAATAAACCTAGTCCCAAAAACAATAAAATATATATGTCATAGGATGTTTTCACAACAGATGAACTTTTAAATCCTTCAGAAAAGATCAGGTGAGATTTACCTGTTACAGAACCAAAATAGAGTCTTGCTAAATTTAATTCAGATTTGATATCACCTTAGTAACAGGACGTTTGGATGTTGAGGTATCATTAAGGCTGACATCAACTCCTTAACATTTTTATCCTGTTATCTTACAATTTTAGGGTTCTAAAGTCAAAATTGCATTTTTTCTCAAAGTCAATATTCAAATAATAGAAGTCATCCTCAGAATATTTCGGTTCAAGAAGAAAATTATTAATCAGTAAACTGGTGTTTCAGATATGAATTTGTGCGACAGTTGAAGAGGAAGATTGAAGAGGTACTAGGTCCTATCATTGAGGATGAAATTGAAAAGCAATCAACATCTACTGGATCAGTGGACATTGGTCAAGACACATTGGTCAGCAGGATCACTGAGCGAGTCATTCACTCAAGACAGTAAGTTCATATCCTTATAGTCATGTGGTCGCAGTTTGATAGTTTTTATTCAAGAACTTTAGTTTTTCTGTGCCACTTAAACCTGGCCAGTCGTTAAATGACCCTGGCTGTTTATAGGATGTTAAGTAACAATAAATTAAACCAAATCCTATCTTTATCAGTAGATGTACTAGTAGCAGATATGTATGAGATAGATTTCAATTTCTGTAGAAAATTTAACATCCCGTTGGTAACGATCAATATACATTAGAAGTTGGACTTTGACCAAATGTTTCAATAAAGATTTTAATGTTCATCATTATAAACATTAATTAAGATCTAATGTTAAACATTTATTAGAGGTTGTTAACAATATTGTTGTCACTATAAACCTTCACTTAAACTAGATCGATCAGAAAAATAGATTTCCATTTGGCATGTCATTAGTTGTAGATGGACAATTATAAATATTACCTGAAATGTTGAAAACATATTAAAAGCATCCAAAGCTAAATTGATTTGTAATTATTTATTTTTCTCCGTCCCATTACATATTTTCATCATCTTTTGAGCAAAGTCATATTTGAAAACTCTGACATTTGTTTAATTATTTTAGTGTGTTAACCTTTTCTATGAGTTTCATTAACTTGCATTTTATTTGTTTAAAACAGTTTAAAATCCATTGATCAGATTCCTTACTGATTTATCATTCAGTTTGATTAATTTCTATAGAATGAAAAAGATTTACAAATTAACCAAGGATGTTATGAAATTTTACTATTTTTGATTATTTAAAAAAAAAATGAATTTTTTTGACTGACAATAGATGAACTGATTTATATCTTTTTCAGTTACAATGATCTATCAAGGAAGATGAAGAAAAATATCCTGGAAGCTGTTGACCACCTGATGAGGAACTTTGATTCCGAGTTTGGTACAGGGCGCCATCGTGACTCTGCAGATCAGCTCCAGGCCAGCAAACAAACACGCAAGACTTATATTGTCAGTGACGAGGATGAGTCCTCATGTGGCAGCTCCTTTAATCAGGTAAATATCATCTGACTTTAACAGTGCTATTTCATTGTCTTGTAAGCAGTAATAGTCATAGTCCACTCCCAGTCTTTTAGACACAAGGAAAGTGTAGGTCACCTGATTTACCACAGGATGGTGAAAGGATAAAATGTCATACACGTCATCTCATTATATAACATTTCTATTTCAAGTGTTCTATAATTATCCATTTTATAAAACAATATTTTAATTCAGAAAAGGAACAAGCTCATACTTAATTATTTATAAGGTCACCTTAGACAAAGTCTCAGGGTGACCTATTGTTATTCCTTTTTTGTCCAACTTTGTGTGTTGTAAACATTGGAACATTTTCGACTTCTGGAAAACTCTGGAACTGATTTCATTAAAATTTTACGGAGACCTCCTATGGCTAAAGGTGCACCATAATTGTACATTATATGGTCCCTGACCCACAGGGGTTTGGGGGCGGGGCCAAAAAGAGTCAAACTGAATGAAATTAAAAAATCTCAGGTATGGTAGAATCAAATACTCTTCATGGATGGAAAGGCCTTCAGATGCTTTACCAAACATGTGAATTTCATGACCCCAGTGTCTCACATTTCCCTTGAGAGGGGGTAAAATTTACTATAGTTTAAATATGAAATTTACATTTTTGAGCATAATTTATAGACTTTCTATTAGAAATAGTTCAAACCTGAGTGTAATTTCTTTCATTTCAAACTTGGTTAGAAGCCTAAGCATGGGACAGCAGTTGATGCAATGCACAATTTACATTTGCATTATGTGTACAATGTAGTTAAAGTTGTATTAACTTTTTTAAGCAAAATCATTTCTGTGACTTGTTACAAGAAGCATTGTGACTCAGGTGACCATTAAGGACATTGGGCCTCTTGTGTTTTAGGGTATGATGTGGTACACTAGCCATGAGATGCTGGAGAATGTAGCTGAGAAACTGGGCAAGACCAAAGACACACAGGTAAGACAAGTAAATGGAGGTCATTGACATGTTAGCCCTACTGCATTAGTGCTGATGAGATAATTAAAGGGAGGTAATTGATGAGTAAGCTTACTGCATTAGTACTGATGAGACAAGCAAAGGTAGATAACTGATAGGTTTGTTTCTTTAGTTCCAGTTTGGAACCTTATTGCTTAGTATCAGCCACTCTCTGCAACTAGATAATGTTAATATTCTCTGTCTTGTTTAGAACATGACTTCCTGTATACATTGTATTTCTAATTAAATTTGTTTCTAAAATGTTAGATTTTTATTAAAAGGGTGTTGCATCTAACATTAAACAGGTCATTGCATCAGTAGAGATGTTTTAAGAAATAAATACAGGGCTGACAGATATTTGTGAACCAGAATTTATTATTGAAGGACTTAACGGATTATTTTCAGACAAGAATAGAAGGGATGCAGACACTGAACCAGAACTCTCCTGGAGATTTTGTCAATAGTGACCAATGGACAAGGATACGGAAAAATCTAATGGATGTGATGGCTGATCCTGATGAACAACTCTCTGTAAGTGATCTATAGTCCAGCACCACAATCTGTTAGTCCAGCACCACAATCTGTTAGTCCACTCCAGCACCACAATCTGTTAGTCCACTCCAGCACCACAATCTGTTAGTCCACTCCAGCACCACAATCTGTTAGTCCAGCACCACAATCTGATAGTCCAGCACCAAAATCTGTTAGCCCATTTCAGCACCACAATCTGTTAGTCCAGCACCACAATCTGTTAGTCTAGTACCACAATCTGTTAGTCCAGCACCACAATGTGTTAGCCCAGCTCCATAAACTGTTAGTCCATCACCACAATCCATTAGTCCTGCTTCACAGTGTACGGATGTGACAGAATTTATATCAGTACAATGACAATAGCTTTATAAGAGCTTTGACAGTTGTGTAGAACTTGATTCTACAGTCACCGTGTTTTGTCCATCGTCATGCATTGTGCTTAAACTTTTTCTTTAAAACCCTACTCCCCTTTCATACCTGTATTGATTTCAGCCAAATTTGGTCTGATGCATCATTGGATTGTAAATTGCATGTATAAAGAATATGATTTCAAGTTTGTAGAAAATGTCTTGATGGACCAACAATGTCTACTATGTAAGGTGTAGAGTATTTGAGCTATTTATTTTAAGCCTATTTTGCTTCTTTCATATATAGGTCTTTATAGTCAGATGACCCTTAAAGCCCATGGGCCTTTTGTATTTATGTCAGTCTTGGCCTTCCTGAGGTTTTTTGGACATGTTATAAATGGTGTTACTTTGTGTCAGTATTCAAATATCTAACTTCAAAATTGATTGCACCATGACCACAAAGTCATAGTCCTTTGATTTTCCTTCATGTTTTTTCCCTCCTCAATTTTCTGCAACTTTTAAAAAAGAAAATAATAAAACTGCTTATAATTTCACTCAATTTTGTTTACATTTCAGTATCTCAGCCAGAAGTTTATCGTAAGAGCGTTTACAACCACCTCACAATACACCAAGGAAGTCTATACCCTCTTAGGTCTGTATACACCATCGTAAACATCAATTTGTTTATTGTAACATGTATATATAAAACACAAAATATGGAAAATCAACACCATTTTTTATGGTGCAGTAAAAAGGCCTTTATGTGCATTTAATCAATTTGTATTCATGTTGAAATTATAAATTGAGAAATAGAATCTTGTATTGATCTTTGTAGTCAAGTTGAAGCTTCTGTTTATTTTATGACTGGTTTGTTTGAGGAATTTTCTTTACCGGTAATACATTCATGTATTTTTACGAAGCCATATTAAATTGAAATTAGATTACAAAATGGTTTAATCATAAAGACAGTGTACTTTGGTTTTAATTTTTTAGAAATCAATTTACTTTAATATGACACATGATTTTTAACATCATTTACCAGAATCTTTCATTGTAGAACAAGCAACAATGCCATGGTTTTATGTTATGAGATTATGGTTATAAAGGCATTAAGAATCAGTCAGTAGATTTTAATTGTTATCAGTGACTTGAATCACAGCAGCTATTGGAGACGTAATGACTGTGTCATTATAAGTCCTAGCTAATCTACTTGCTTCCTTTTAAATTCTAGCGGACTATCTGATTGTCCAGTTCAATTCAAGGCGTGGTTTCATTCCTAAAATTAAGAATGGACTTGATGTACAGAAAGGCGAAATTGTGAAACTCATAAAGGCTGTAAGTCGGCTTCTTTGATAGTGCTGGCAGTCAGATCAACATTTGGTTAGAGCTCTGTGACTTTGAAGCATAACAAAGTGGTTGAAGTTTTACTTTGTTGTACTTTTCTATGTATGCCCATCTCTTATCTCTATTAAATACATTTCAATAAACATAAATATGATGTTATAGATCAAGATTATCCCTACATTTCTATACTTTAGAGGGATTGATTGATAACAGAATAAATCTGACTCTTTTCCTACATTTTTTTTCATTCTTAGAAATAATTGAATTGTTCAACTTTAAAATTGAATAAAAGGTTATTTGAGTGTTTGGGTTTATAAACATATTTCTTTCCTTTACTTCACAGTTCCGACTGTTAAATGAATTTCAGCAAGAGACAATAAACTACTGGATACGTTATCCTGACAAGTAAGTCAATTTGCATGTGATAAAAATATAACATATCCTGTAATAATGGTAGGTTTGGGAGGTATGGGGGTAGAAGGGGGAGGGATTGGGGACAGAAGGGGAGGGATTGGGGTAGAAGGAAGAGGGATTGGGGTAGAAGGGTGAGGGACAGGGATAGAAGGAGGAAGGATGGGGATAGAAGGGGAGGGGTAGGGGTATATGAAATTAGATTTGGGTGGGCTTATTACTGGACATGACTTTACTGCAGGATAAATACTTAATGAATCATTGAAGCCATATACATACTAAGTATCAATAAACAAGATAGATTTAGCTATTAATTACATTTTTGCAATTGAATTGAGTTGTGCTTGTGATTTCTTATCACTTTATTGGAATGCACACGAAGCATATGTTGAATATGGGAGTTTTTAATCAGATTTTTTCTGTGTACTTTTGGGGTTTTTCTCTAATTTGGTCTTTAAAATCAGTTTTGTAAGGAATTCCTACCAGGTAATAGCATAAAACACTAGTGTTCCATATACAGTAGTCATTTCAAAATGGTGTTATTTTGTTTTCAAGCGTAACGTCATTTGCTCTGATGGCATAACTGTGTCAATACTTCCCTAACTTCTTGTTTAAATGCTGGTTTACTTTTTGTTTGGATCAACTTATTTTCTCTTTGTTTTTTGTTTTTTCATTATAAATGATATTAAAAGAACAATTTATGGTATTTCTAACACAATTTGCCCTCGTGTGTTCTAGATACCTTGAGATGGTTCTGGAGAGTACATTGAATCTGTTCTCTATACACCAACAAGGGGCCCCTGTAGGGACTTCCTCCAGTCTCACTCCGTTACATTTTGTATCCCTCATCGATCCAAAGGCACAGTGGTTCATTAAATGGATGGTATGTTAGACCTGGAACAATTTGATGTTGCTGAAAAACTCCATAATTATAGACTACTTTCTGAAGAAATGCTTATAACTTTTTACCAATGTTGTTCTGTTATGATTTAATATCTAAATATTTGATACTTGCCTTTGATATAATAATTATTATTGTTAATTGTTAAATGTTAATTTTTATTTAACAACAATTATGAATTAAGTTATACCAACTTTAGTTTATATCATTTACACATGACTCACTGATTACTGCGACAAGCAGTTATAAGTTATAAGTGATAACTGATGTTATGAATATCAATTGCAGCATGGTAACTACAGCAGGATGAAACTGTTGAAGCTCCTGGAGAAATATAAATCTGTGGTAGGTGCCATCAGCTAACAATGATGATGTACAATATTAATTTTACAGAAAATTATATAAAGAAACTGCAGTTAGACCAATTATAATTTAGCTTAAATGTATTTTATCGGCTTTGATAAATACAGTTTTCGTAATAATAAGGTTCGAGGCCTCAAACTGATAACTCAACTCTTGGTTATCCACTAAAACTCTTAACACTTTTTCGTAATTTAATTTTTATCTTAACACGCAAATTGTGCTTTTTTCATTTTTGTGATTGTAGATTGGAAATATTCCATTTATAAGAATAATAAATAGTGCCTTTTTCCTTCTGGTGCTGCAGACACAAGCTATTTCATTAAGACACACTAAGAAATACACAAAAATTGTCAGGGATGAGATTTTGAATGTTCAGAATGAGGCTTTACCAAGTGCTGAACCTCAAAAATCTTACCCTTTATTTGGAGATTCCTAGGCTTAAATTACACAGAAAGGAGTAATTTTTTCTCTAAAGTTTTCCTGTCAAAGAAATATTTCATGCTTCAATGGTGAATTGTATGCCGCAAAGGTTTATTTCGGGGATGGATACAATATAACCTGCAGGGAAGATAATGCTTGTCTATTTAAATATCTTACATTGAACATGATTTGAAAATTACAAGTTGATGTTGTGTTTGTTGTAGGTTGTGAATGCTGTACACCATTGTCTTGAGTTTTCAGCCAATAGAAAGACACCATTTGATTTAATGAGCGAAATGTCGGACAACTTCTCAAAGACATCTGTTACAGGTGAAAGTCATTATCAGATATATAATTCTGTGTGTCTCAATATGAGAAATTTCTTTCAACTTGATATTTAATAGTAAAGACTAAAGCCTGACAGTTTGCCAAATATGTATCTAATAACAACTTTTTAAATTCTTTCCACATCTCTCTTTAAAGATATTTTCCACATCTCAAGCTCTTTCTTACCTTGTGCTTTTATATGTAAAAGAAATTTAGATAAGATTAGTTTTGACATCCAGTTCGATTTCTGGGTGACCATGACACTTTATGCAGGCGACACATAAAGTTCCGAGGAACTCTTGTATATGGATGTATGTGTTCAAAAATGATTTCCAAATGAAAAAATTTAAAAAAAAAAAAAAAAAAAAATGTAAGGTTTTATGGTAAAAATATACCTTGAGTAGGTAGCTTTCACTAAGTGTGTGTAATCAAGTGTGTGTGATATGTGTGTCACTTTGTGTAATCAGTGTGTGTGTATTTGTGTGTGAAAAATATCATGTGTGTGTTACTGTGTGTTGGTGCTGGCCAATCTGAATTTTATTATCAAAATGTTACCTGTGTGTGTGTATGTGTGTGTTATTAGTGTCATCTGTGTGTGTGTACAAAGTGTCATGATGCCCTATTGCAATGAACCAAATTGTGAATTATACAGTCCCCACCACTCAGGGGCTGATGGATGGGGCCAAAAGGGGTCAAATTGAGTTAAATTTCAAAAATCTTCTTCTCAACCTCCAGCATGGTAGAATCAAATGCATTTCATCCATGGAAGCATCTTAAGGTGTTTACTTGGGTCTCAAATTTCTTCCTGGTGATGAAGTATTTTTTAAACTTCACTGTAATTTTCATAGAAAAAACATCATTTTTGAGCATAACATTGGCTATTTCCCACTGGAAATAGCTTTGTAAGACTTAGTATAGGATGACAGTTTTGATGGTATGCATGTATTGACACTGACTTACTATATTCAGTGTCACAATTTCTGTTTCATGACACTTGATAACTACCTTTAACCTTTACATCCAATAATGCTTATCCCAGGTGACTATCAAAGCCGCTAGGTCTCTTGTTTTATATGAAAGCATTGAAGACTTGTGTTTTAGGTGTGAAACTGTTGTACAGTTCTTGGCAGAATTATGATTATAGACACACAAACAAGCAGAGCAACAACTTTAGATGAGATTTCACTAGTGTGCGGAATGTATCAAATAGAATATTCCTAATATCTTAATGAATAATAAATGTATTACATCACGCTGGGGTGAAAACTTTCATTTTTTTCACTTGTGCAAAATTTCAAAGTTTCCACTACACTCAATAATAACAGTTATTCATCAATTAAAAAAAGGTTTCTTAGACCATGAAACCTTGTCGTAGAACCACAATTTTGAACAGTACTTTACCACCACGTATGTTTGATGTTGTAGATAAGGGACGTTCTTACTACACTGGAGCTGAACTGGAATACTCCTACTTCATACACTCTGTCTTTCTCCTGGGGCGCCTGCTCTGTTTCATCAATGGCCGTAAACTCTTCCCCATCAAACTGAAGGACTCGGAAGGTACGCTTATTTACTATGCTGTGTTGATATTATAGCCGTGTTATCGGCTGGTTGTTTTACAGCTTTGAAAAGTCGTTTTGTTAAATGTTCATATTGTAACGGAAATTTTACGTTTTAGGGCTTTTCATGCTCAACATATTGTGCTTACTGCAGTTTCTTAATGTTGATCATATTAGAAACAAATTCATCTCTGTGCTTATTTGATAAATAAATTGATGATATGCTGAAGTTTCATTGTATAGAAATCAGTATGTTTATGTTATATAACAGAGAATACCCAGAAATAAAAGACCCAGGCAATGGATCCTTCAAACTGTTATTGATATGACTTTTAAAAATTGTACATTTGTTTTTAAGTTAAAGGAAGTATTATTGTTGTAAATGCATAATGCTTGTTGTGATATTTGTACAATTTATATTAAAACAGTGGATAACGTTCAGTGGGTAGATATTTCTTTTGAATAAATCAGATCGATGCTCATCAGAAATTTCATGAAATGTTTATGTACCATGAGATTATATTGAACTCAGTGTGCAAAATCATCACACATTTTAACATTTGAGTAAGTATCATATTTATGATAAGAATTCTACTTAGCTGTTAAATGACATCATTCTAACCTAACTTTCCTCCAACTTTGATTTCTGTAATTACAGAACCAGTCACTATAACTAAATTGTTGGTGGCTCTGGTATTGATAGTGGTCGACCCAAGTCTCAACAACGGAAACTCCAAGTCCACTCCAGGTATGTGCAAGTCCAAGCTGATTAATTTATTAAGTCACCTTAAACAAAATCTCAGGAAGACCTATTGCAATATCCTTTTGCCCAGCGTTGTGCATTTTACATATGCGTCTTAAACTTTCAACATTTTCGACTTCTCAAAAGGCTCTAATCCAATTTCAGTGAAATTTTGCAGAAACCTTCCCTGGCCTAAGATGAAACAAATTTATGAATTATACAGTCCCTACCCCACAAGGGCCTGAGGAGCAGGGCAAAAGGGATCAAATTGACTCAGATTTCAAAATTATTCTTCTCCAGACCCAGATATGGTAGAATCAAATACTCTTCATAAATGGAAGCATCTTAAGGTGCTTTACCCAAACTGTGAATTTCATAGCCCCAGGGTCTAACATTATCCCGTGGGTATGGGGTAAAATTTGGCATATTTTATTTCAGAAAAACTAGATTTTTTAGTATAATTTGTTTAATTTCCATTGGAAAAATTTCAAACTTGGTTAGAATTATTAGTAAATGATGACAGCTTGATATTATGCTGATTTTGGACCTGACTGACCCCCAGGGGCTTTACTGTAATTTTCACAGCAAAATTGTGTTTTTGAACATAACATTGGTTATTTCACACTGGAAATAACTTTATAAGAATTATCAGTATAGGATGACAGTTTTGATTGAATGCATGTAATGACACTGGCATACTATATTCAGTATCATAATTTCTGTTTCATGACACTTGATAACTATCCTTTAACCTTTATATTCAATGTTGCTTATCTTAGGTTACTGCAAGGCCACTGAGCCTCTTGTTTATTTTCTATTGGAAATAGTTCAAACCTGGTTAGAGTTATTAGTATAAGATGACAGTTTGATGAGATGCACATGTTGACCTCGGCTGACCCCAAGGGACTGTTGGGTGGGCCAAAACCGGAAAAAACTAACTGCAATTTCAAAAATCTTTTTTCTAAAATCCCAGGTATGGTAAAATGAAGTATTCTTCATAGATGGAAAGGCCTTCAGATGTTTTACCAAAATTGTAAATTTCATGACCCCAGGGTCTCCCATGTCCTGCTGTGGAGGGGTAAAATTTACAATAGTTTGTATAAGAAAATTACATTTTTGAAAATTATTGGTTTATTTTCTATTGGAAATACTTCAAACCTGATTAGAATTTTTAGTTCATGGTGACAATTTAATGAGATGCACATCTATAATGATTTTCATCTAAAATGAAATTTCAAAGATGTATTCTATTACATCTATGGAACTCCTTTGTTTACTGTCGGTGATGCGTCGATTGGCCGTGACATCAGTTGAGATTTCCAGTGATAAAAAGTAGCTGTTCTATCAATCAGTCCGTCCTAACATGGTATTTTTTATTTCTCTTTTAAGAAATAAGAATTTACAGAAAAAGGCTTTCTTAATGTTAAATATGATGCCATCATCTTTCAATCAAAAATATTTTTGTAAGAGTAAGCCTGATGATAATCCCAACTGACATGATATATTGCTGGGTCTAATGACTGTATAATCCTCATTGCCTTTTCACAGCTCGATACGAACCAGGCAGTTTAGTGACAGAGATCCTAAAGAACTTATGCAGCTCAGAACAAGTCTGTGAAATTTGTCTGTACAAGGATGACATCACCAATACTCTCTTGTCCCCTGTCTCCCAGTACCTTGATACATCGGTAGGCAACACGTTTTATCTATATTGTCTTTTGTATTTGATACAAAATGATTAAGATGGAAATATTTCCCTGTCAACTCTTTCTGGAGTTCTTTTGAGATTTTCATCAACATATAACTGACACCAAGTGAGCTTCTCATTCATTGTCTTATAAATTCTTCTTTCATTATGTATATTTTGTTATCAACAGATAAAATATCTATTAGCATTTCTGTTTTTATTCATGCTCCACAAGAATATATTTTCATGTATTGATTTATTTTTTCAAATCGCTCTGCGTCCATGGTCTGTCTGTCCGTCCATCCGTAAACAATTTTTTGTTATCACTATTTCTTCAGAAGTACTGGATAGATCATTCTCAAATTGCATAAGTAGGTTTTCAATGATCTCTAGTTGTGCTTATTTGATATTGGGACTGATCAAATAAACAAAGTGGTGGACAGGTGGCCATCTTGGATTTTTTCCATGAAATTTGTAATCGCTATTTCTTTAAAAGTACTGGATGGATCTTTCTCAAATTTCATATGTAAGTGCCCCTTGGTCTTTAGTTGTGCCCATCTAATATTTTGACTGACCAGAGAAAACAAAATGGCGGCCAGGTGACCATCTTGGATTTTTTATTCATGAAATTTGTTATCACTCTTTTTTCAAAAGTACTGGATGGATCTTTCGTAAATTTCATGTGTAGGTTCCCTATGGTCCCTAGTTGTGCCCATCTTATTTTGGGACTGATCAGACAAATCAAAATGGCTGACAGGCAGCCATCTTGATTTCACCTAGTAAAGATTGTTATCCCTATTTCTTAAGAGGAACTGAATAGATATCTCAAATTTCATAGGTATGCTCCCTTTGGTCTGTCATTGTGTTCATTTAATTTTGGGACTGATCAGAAGAAACAAAATGGCTTCCAGGTGGCCATTTTGGATTTTGCAGGTGAAGAATATCACAATATCTGCAAAGGAATGTTCAAATGTCTTATCATTAAGAGCAAAAAAAAACATGAGAAGAGAAAAGAAGGGGAAAGATCCAACTTTCAAAGAGCAAATTAAAATCAAACAATGATGGGCGCCAAAATCCCTATGTGATCTCTTGTTTTCGCTTATTTTTCTTCTAATGTGATTTTTTTTTCTTCACTGCCTTTTGTATACAAATGTGTATTATCTCCTGTCTCTGTTTTACTCAAAACATAGCATATTCGACCAGGGAGTGAGTATTCCTTCAATGAGGTGAGCACCCGATGTTTTGCGTGCCCTGAAGACCTATTAACGGTTGTTGGAACATTAATAAAATTCCCACCTCCAGAGCAGTCACTAATTACCCAATGTTTTTATCTTTACTTTGTACATGTATTAAATCTATCCTAGAAATGGGTTTCAGTCTGGTTTCAATTTTTGGAGACCTAATTGTTTGTAATATACTGATACTTATACTGATCAACCTACAATTTTTTTTCACTAATTATTTACCAAAGATTAATACAAAAATACGATCTATACTCATAAGCATTATTTAAAACCTTTGAAAAATTTTTATGTCATGTTCTAAAGCTTGGGAAAAAAAGGTGAAAATATTTTGCAAGGATGTAATAGTAAAAGTTAGTTATTTTATCAGCACTTCTGGTCAATGATAGTTGACAAATTGCATCTCATGAATATTAAATTGACATAAAAGATGAATAATGATTTGACATTGAGAATGTGATTCTTCAGCTTAAAAGTGCTCATTTTAGCAATACACTTCCTAAACACAGTGAGTTTCACTTAGTATGATATTCTATTTTAACAGATATAACAGATATCAAAATCAAATTATAATGGTAATTATTAATTACGCTTTATAGTTTGTGTGAACCTCATTCTAACTAAAACAAAATTAAGCTATGAATTTGCTACAAATTTTGTGAGGTTTTCTTTTTTCGATTAATTATTTAGTAATTTTCCTAAACAAGGTTCTAAAATTTGCTTGATTTCATGGAGAGATAATACTTCTTTTTTTTTTATTGATAGTCCTGTACAAATAGTGATGTCTCTGTTTAAAATATACCTGGAGATATACATGTTGCAGTCTTCCTACTGGCCATCTGCCCCTTGTTGTGCCAGACTTTGTGATGTGTTTGTTTTCTCTGTAAATAATTGTATCAGGATGTTAATCTATGACTTTAAGGTTTTTGTTCAGCTAACAATGGTGTATTGGAAGTGTTAAATATTGTAAATACCTTCTTTACTTCCCCTGGCCCAAAGAGCCAAGTGAGCTTATGCCATGGGGCGGCATTTGTTGTCAACTTTTTCATTTAAACAACTTTTCCTCAATAACCAGTGGACCAAATGTTTTGATATTTGGATGGTATGTACCTAGGATAAAGCCTGACAAATTTAGTGAAAAAAAAAATACCTTGAACCATATTCAAGGTCACAGGGGCAAGATTTGTTAAAACCTTTAAAAGACTTCTTCTCATGAACTAATGGGCATAAATAAATGATATTTGGCTGGTGTGTTCCTAGTATGATGATTGATAAAGTTTGTTAACAGAAATGACCTACTGTCTTGCATGGTTACACAGCAGTCCAGCAAGGTCTTACAGTTAACTTAAAGCAAATGCAAAACAGGCATTTGATGATAGGTTGTTTGTTATCATGCATCATCTGCCGTCTGCCGTGCATAAACTTTCCATTCAAATGACTTCTTCTCAATAACCAGAAAGCTCAGGGTCTTCATATTGGTCTTTTAGCTTGATGGGATAAAGGGCTACCTAGTTAGCCATCATGTTTTGTATGTTGTCATGCACCAACCACTTTCTGCCATGCATTGTGAATATGAATGACCTTGACCTACTTTCAAAAGAGGTCAAATATCTAAAAATCTTTAAACAACTTCTTCTCAATAACCAATTGGCATAGGCTGCTGATATTAGGTGTGTGGTATGGAAGGATAAAGGGCTACCAAGTTTGTAAATATGAGTGACCTTGACATTCATTTAAGGTCACAGAGGTCATATATTTTAAAGTGTTTAAATGACTTCTTCTCAATAACCAAAAAGTCCAGGGTGCTGATAATAGGCCTATAGCATGCTAGGAGGTCTATCAAGATTGTTCATATTATTGACTTAGACCTACTTTCAGGTCAAAAGTGTTAAATATGTCAAAATCTTCAAGCAGCATGTTCTCAGTTGGCAAAAGATCCATAGTACTGATAGATACAGGGCTATCAAATCTGTGAAAATTAATAACCTTGAAACCATTTCAAGGTCATAGGGGTTAAATGTATTGAAATATTTTAACGACTTCTTCTCAATAACCAAAATGTCCATTGTGCTGATATCGGTCCTGTAGCATGCTGGGATAAAAAGCTACCAAGCTTGTTCACCTTGATCTACTGTCAAGGTCACAGGGGTCAAATGTTTTGAAATGCGTAAGCAACTTCTTCTCAATAAACAAAAGGTCAAGGGTCTTGATATTGGGACTGTAGCTTGTTCTTTCAACAAGCAATATGTCCAGAGTAATGGCAATTGTGTAGCACATGTATAAAGAATATGATTTCAGATTTGCTGAAAATGTCTTGATGAACCAACAATACCTTCTATGTAAGCTGTAGTGTAGTTGAGCAATTGATTTTACACCTATTTGGCCTCTTTCAGATATAGGTCTTTATAGTCAGATGACCATTAGGGCTCGTGGGCCTCTTGTTTCCACATAACATGGAAACAGCACAACCAAAAAAGTGCTGGTATGGAAAGACAAGACATGTTACTTACTTGAATGTAACATACTGTTTAAACGCTCACCATCAGCATCCAGCAAGGTTGTTAGAATCAAACACAGTCTTTCTATGCGACCATAAATCTATATATTGAAGTACAACATATAATTCATTATCTATGTGCTCTGTCAACATCAGGAATCATTATCAAAGTTTACTTTTAATTCTGTTTTTCTGTATTCTGTTTATTGTGTTTTGTTTTTAAAATCAGATTTGGACTATGTTTGGTTTCTTGAATGCCTCACTCGACATTGTCTTATTTGTAGGACCATCACATCGGTAATGAGACCACACTTCTACATGTCGCAGACATTGTGTCTATGATTGCATCTAGCACTAAAGGTCGCCGCCATCTTATCTACGGAGAGAAGAAAGACATATTTACCCGCACAAAGTAGGTTTGGACCACAGAATGTATGGTTTAGTTTACTTATGAAATTAGAACATTTTCATTGGGGAGATGTTATCTGCAAAATTTCTGAAGCTTTTAAGGTCAACACTGTTTTATACTGCAGGACTATTTTAATATATATGAACTAATATTAACAAGTATATGCACTTTAATGTAGACGTTGGGTAGCCTGTTAGAACTCGGTTTAGCTTTCGGTCAAAAATCAAAATATGATATGAAATTGGGTCAGACATGCACATGTCATTCATCTGTTTGCTGTTGTTAAATTGTCTGCATCACTTAAACACCTTGTCTGTTTAGGTCATCAGCGGCACACATCATAGCTAAGTTTACAAGGAAGGCATTGTTGGGAGAGTTACCTCATGAGGCAGGCCCCGCTCCCTCGAAGGCCGTCATCGGAGCCTACCTGTACATCTGTCGTCAGCTGTATAACACTTGTGAGGGCCTTCTGGTACTGTACCCTTACGACCTTCACAGTGTTGGGGCCATCGCCTGGAGAGAGGTATGTCATGTGGTAGTATTTGTTAACCTGCGACATGGGAAATCTATTAAAAAACTAGAAATACTGATTCTTATTAGCTCTTGCAATCAGATAAAACATATTTATCAAAATTGAAAATGAATTAAAAATGAAGTATTATCATATTGACCAACAAGAAGGCTGATATATGCCTGTGTCTGGCAATAAGTCTGTGTCTGGCAATAAGTCTGTGTCTGGCAATAAGTCTGTGTCTGGCAATAAGCCTGTGTCTGGCAATAAGCCTGTGTCTGGCAATAAGCCTGTGTCTGGCAATAAGTCAGTGTCTGGCAATAAGTCCGTGTCTGGCAATAAGCCCGTGTCTGGCAATAAGTCTGTGTCTGGCAATAAGCCTGTGTCTGGCAATAAGTCTGTGTCTGGCAATAAGTCTGTGTCTGGCAATAAGCCTGTGTCTGGCAATAAGCCTGTGTCTGGCAATAAGCCTGTGTTTGGCAATAAGTCCGTGTCTGGCAATAAGTCCGTGTCTGGCAATAAGCCCGTGTCTGGCAATAAGTCTGTGTCTGGCAATAAGCCTGTGTCTGGCAATAAGTCTGTGTCTGGTAATAAGTCTGTGTCTGGCAATAAGCCTGTGTCTGGCAATAAGTCTGTGTCTGGCAATAAGTCTGTGTCTGGTAATAAGTCTGTGCCTGGTAACAAGTCCACTCTGTTGATGTTAAGAAATATTACTAACAAATACTATTGATCATACTTCAATAAGCCCACCCTTGGCTTTAAGTGTACATTGCCCATATCTTATTGACAGTCTCAAGATAAGCTAAAAACACCCCAACCATCTGCAATGAGGGATATAGTCGGCGCCGTTGTGTTTGTCATTCCAGTTGTCAGAGAAAGTATTTTGAGCACTTGGTTTAGATGCTTTTCAAATTCTTTCTGTGTTAGGCTAACAGAGATGCTGATAATGCTGTGACCCCAACCCCATCAGACAACAGCTCGGACACCGACGTCACAACTAGACAGGGCAAGGCAGACACGTAAGCTACCTCATGTCTGTTATCACCTAAAGAGTTAAGGGCTTTCTAGAAAATCACTGTGGAGAGGAATGACTTTCATGCATAGGTGGTGCTGAAGAACTTATTATTTCATACAATGTTTTCACTTGCTCACCTCTCTTGGTGGATCGTTTGTAACACAAGTGGATTAATCAAATTTTATAGACGATGTACTGGAATAGATTTTTGTTTTATCATTTACTATTTTTTTCTGTGAAAGGTGTCACAGTGTTCTCCTTTTCGCTGTGTCAAGGATGGAACTCTTTTGTGAAAAAATAAATTTTTTGAAAATGAAAAAAATAAAAAATAGAATTCTTTACAGTTCATTTATGACTACTGCAGAAATGGCATCTTCTTGTAACTGTTTTTAAAAAATAATGAAAATTTGAATGATTGCAAAAATAATGTTAATCTTTAAAACATTGTTTAACCATAGAAACTATGTGTCTTCAAACATGTGGAATTATTTTATGTATGAGTTATCTGCCCTTGCTCACCACAGGCAAGTTTGGGAGGACACCCTGAGGGACAATCTGTTGAATTTTGCTAGTACAGCTAAAGGTATTCTCCTCCTTCAGCAGACAGGTGCCATCAACGAGTGTATGTCGTACATGTATATACGCTACGAACAGAAACTTCAGGTAAAGAGTTTCATTGATATATATATATGTTTGATAGTATTCAGTTAAAATCAAATCCTTACTGATACTGTGTTTTAATTCTCAGACTAAAACAGCTAAATCAAGGCAAAAAGGAGCATATTATTGATTAAGTACGGTATTTCCAGATGATATGCTGCATTTTTTCCCTCTGCATTCAGGCCAGGGGTTTATATACTGGTGCAGCTTGTATGTGGATGAAAACAAAAATCAGCAGAATGGGGCGAAATATGTAGGTCTAACATACCAGTACGAGAGGTCATAAATATTTCTACAACCATGACATGTTTATGACTGAAACAAATTGCGTAGAACAGAATCAAATCAAATCAAATACCTTTATTAAATGTTACACTGACATCTTGATAAACAGCTTTCCGTTATCTGTTGTTGGTATAATAAAAGTAAACAATAGTGGTCACCTTATCGTAAGAAAAAGGGTGTGGCTTATATGTGGATCAAATTGAAAAAATTGGCTTAAAAACTGGCCCTGCTGCTTGTATACCTGTGTGACTTATAACCCATAAAATATGGTATATCTCAAGTAACGGCACTTGAAGTAAGGGTATATTTATGGATACTAACCAGAATATTTATAAGTGTTAAAGGTTACTGTTACTTTAAATAGAAAATGCTTTTCCCTCAATACTGTATCCTTTTCTGTCACTCCCTCAAGACTTCAAATTTGTTGTCCATTAATGTTCCATGTCAATGGTCCATGCGGTCATTGTTAGAACAGGAAGTCAGTTTCCACCTTAGTCTTTGGTTCCACTGTTCAGTAACTGAAACAACAATCACAAAGATTTTCCTAAGAAATAATGGTTGGTAAGGATAACTTGCTAAACATGGTGACTTGTGTATTTTTTAAGGTGAGCAAGTGTGAAAAGTTTGGATATGGTTACATGGTGACACAAGTGGCTGGTACTGCTCCAGGAATGGTGGCTCTACAGAAAACAGGTGAGAATATATTATATAATTATAAGATCACATTACCTCACAAGTGAGAATTGGTGACATATAACCTATAGCCATCGTGTTTCGTCTATCGTCATCTCCCATGCGCAAACCTTCCATTCAAATTACTTTTCCTCAATAACTAGAAGGCTCAGAGTACTGATATCGGGTTTGTAGCATGATGGGATGAAATGCTACGTAGTTTGTTAATATTAATGACCTTTACCTGCTTTCAAGGTCACAGAGGACAATTATGTTAAAATGTTTAAATGACTTCTCAATAACTAAAAGATATTATGCCTGTAGCATGCTTGAAGTTATGGCTACAAAGTTTTGTAATATAAATGATCTCTACCTGCTTTTAAGGTCACAGGAGTGAAATACGTCAAAATTTAAACAACTTCTTCTTAAATATAAGGCCAAGGGTGCTGATATTGGGCCTGTAGCATGCTTGGATGAAGGGCTACCAAGTTTGTTCATATTATTGACCTTGACATATTTTCAGGATCAAATTTGTCAAAATCTTTAAATGACATCTTTTCAATAACCAAAAGGTCCATGGTAATAATATTGGGCCTTTTAGCTTGCTTGAAGTGCCACTAAGTTTGTTAAAATGAATCCCTTGACCTACTGTCAAGGTCACAGGGGTCAAATGTTCTGATATGCATAAGCAACTTCATTTCAATAAACAAAAGGCCAAGGGTCTTGATGTTGGGTCTGTGGCATGTAACAAGTAATATGTCCAGAGTAATGGCAGTTGTGTAGTAAATGTATAAAGAATATGATTTCAAATTTGCTGAAAATGTCTTTATGAACCAACCAATGTCTTCTATGTCAGTTGTAGTGTAGTTGAGCAATTTATTTAGATGACCTTTAATGCCCATGTGCCTCTTGTTTCTGTTGAAGGCTATATCAAAGCATTGATAGCTGAGCTATGGTCAGTTATGGAGAGTGGACTGTCTGACGCACCACTGTACAGTGCCAAGACCTGGCCTGTTGATGCTGTGGATAGACATGCACATAAGGTATTAGACAATAAAGCTTGCAGTACAAAATAAATCCTTTTATTTCTCCAGCAATAAGCCCATGCTATTGTATAAGCTCATCCAATATTCAAGGTCATTTAATTAACCGAGCCCTGACTTCATGTCAAAGATGTAATTTTGTCACCGTGGGCTTATTACAGGATCGGTGTATTTTTCATTCAGAAAAAATGTAATCTTGTTTTTATGAGCCAACATTTGTAACTCACTTCAATCTCTATTCCTTAACTGTTTTTGATTTATTATTTTTTTCTGATGAATTTTAACTACAATTACTTCTTTCATTTGGTGATATACAGTAAATTCATGCTTGTTTTCATATATCTACACTTAATGACAAATTATACATGCCAGTGTGACAGTAGCATCAATAGATCACATGAAACATTGGAGGCTTGATATAAACAACAAATGGTGGTATGTGTTGATTGTATGTAAGATTACAGCAATAATTGATGATTACAGCACCTGGTCCGTCTCCTCAATGTCCTGGCCTCTTTTCCTGCTGTGTACGAGGTGCTTGCTCGTAAACCTCTCCCAACTCAAGATGAGTACACATTCCGTGAGATGCCTGAAACCATTGCTGTAAGTTTTCAACAGAGTGACTGTTAGATATTGAAGATTCCAAACCTAGTAAGGATCCAAGGTGTGCAACTGGATCCCTGGATGGAGCAGTTTGTGTTTGTCAGGAAGCTGAGATCATGAACCTTCCAGTCATAATTATGTCCTGGTACATTTCCCGAAATATACCAATACATACCAAAACTGCATGTGGTGGGCCTTCCACATGATATTTAGTGAGATGGCAACCAACTACTTTTAGAAGACCCCTTACCTCTAAAAGACCATGACTGCTTAAGCAAATAAAAAAATAAATGGTTATCAAAAAAAAATCAATGCCTCAAAACTCCTGAGATCAATAGCACGCTAAGTTTCTCAGAGGTTGTCCTGTTTATTTGTATAATTTGTAAATATTTATCAAATTCTTTATTCTGAGGTATTCTAAGATAATTACAACTCTAACAAACTGTAAGTCTCACAGTAGATATATTGTTCACATTTAATTAAAATGTAGATGAAATGCAGTCAAATTTAGTTAAAACAGTTTGAAATAGTCTAATATTGTTTAGCAACTGAACTGTGAAATGATAGCGATTGTACTTGGTCTGATGAAACACACAATGAAATTCTGATACTCACATTCATTTTTGTAGAGGTTTTGACAGGAACAACTGAGGTCGTAGTGGCCTCTAAAAGAAAAATTTTACCAATTTTCTGTACAATGTTCCTTTTCCAGGGTTTTATTGATAGACTGATCCTGGTGGACTCCCCGGGGAAGACTCACTCTCTGTTTAACTATGAACACTCCCATGTGTTTGGCTTGAGGTAGGAACAATATCTGTCATTGTCAAGGCTGTGTTAGTCAAATCAACATAACAACGAATTATTTATAATAAAATATAACTGTGATGTGTAAACTTTCAATATTTTTTGACATCTGATCGTTATTTAGGATCTAGTATATAGTATTTTAGTTCTGTTTAATTGTATGATTTACATGTATTATTCATAAATGATGAAGTGCAGGAAAATTATATTATAGGGTGTTAAGTGTGATGATCTCATATCTCCTAATTACAGGGTGTTAAGTGTGATGATCTCCTATCTCCTAATTACAGGGTGTTAAGTGTGATGATCTCATATCTCCTAATTACAGGGTGTTAAGTGTGATGATCTCATATCTCCTATCTCCTAATTACAGGGTGTTAAGTGTGATGATCTCATATCTCCTAATTACAGGGTGTTAAGTGTGATGATCTCATATCTCCTAATTACAGGGTGTTAAGTGTGATGATCTCATATCTCCTAATTACAGGGTGTTAAGTGTGATGATCTCATATCTCCTAATTACAGGGTGTTAAGTGTGATGATCTCATATGTCCTAATTACAGGGTGTTAAGTGTGATGATCTCATATGTCCTAATTACAGGGTGTTAAGTGTGATGATCTCATATGTCCTAATTACAGGGTGTTAAGTGTGATGATCTCATATGTCCTAATTACAGGGTGTTAAGTGTGATGATCTCATATCTCCTAATTACAGGGTGTTAAGTGTGATGATCTCCTATCTCCTAATTACAGGGTGTTAAGTGTGATGATCTCATATGTCCTAATTACAGGGTGTTAAGTGTGATGATCTCATATCTCCTAATTACAGGGTGTTAAGTGTGATGATCTCATATGTCCTAATTACAGGGTGTTAAGTGTGATGATTTCCTATCTCCTAATTACAGGGTGTTAAGTGTGATGATCTCATATCTCCTAATTACAGGGTGTTAAGTGTGATGATCTCATATCTCCTAATTACAGGGTGTTAAGTGTGATGATCTCCTATCTCCTAATTACAGGGTGTTAAGTGTGATGATCTCCTGTCGAGACACATTCCTACTACTACAGTCCCAGTATAGGTTTCAGGATGTTCTTTTGAAGGCACAGGGTGAGAATCACCCCAACGATCGGTAAGTCAACCACACTATCACAACAATATGCATGCTTATCAGCAGGAAACACTACAGTAACGACATTAGGTCCACACAATACTCATGCACTCCCTAAATTCTTTTTCGTCTAAATTTGTATGAAAAAAACAGCATCAAGAACCAAATTTTGTAACTGTTATATATACTTAATAAACAATGGGTAATCCAACACTACAAGAGTCAAAGTAATTGTAGAAATATCCTACTGTGGACCTTAAAGTGGATTCTATAGATTTTCTTACTAAAAATACATGATAAAGAAATCTCTAATCTCCGTGTTGGATCCTTTATTTTGTTATTTTCTAAAAATAAATTCATGACAACAAGTAAAGATCTGTGACAAAAAATTATAGATCAGTGACAAATAAATACAGATCTGTGACAAATAAATACAGATCTGTGACAAATTAGTACAGATCTGTGACAGATTAGTACACATCTGTGACAAATAAGTACACATCTGTGACAAATAAGTACACATCTGTGACAAATTAGTACACATCTGTGACAAATAAGTACAGATCTGTGACAAATAAGTACAGATCTGTGACAAATTAGTACAGATCTGTGACAAATTAGTACACATCTGTGACAAATAAGTACAGATCTGTGACAAATTAGTACAGATCTGTGACAAATTAGTACAGATCTGTGACAAATTAGTACAGATCTGTGACAAATAAGTACAGATCTGTGACAAATTAGTACAGATCTGTGACAAATTAGTACAGATCTGTGACAAATTAGTACAGATCTATGACACATTAGTACAGATCTGTGACAAATAAGTACAGATCTATGACAAATAAGTACAGATCTGTGACAAATTAGTACAGATCTGTGACAAATAAGTACAGATCTGTGACAAATTAGTACAGATCTATGACAAATTAGTACAGATCTGTGACAAATTAGTACAGATCTATGACAAATTAGTACAGATCTGTGACAAATAAGTACAGATCTGTGACAAATTAGTACAGATCTGTGACAGATCTGTGACAAATTAGTACAGATCTATGACAAATTAGTACAGATCTGTGACAAATAAGTACAGATCTGTGACAAATTAGTACAAATCTGTGACAAATTAGTTCAGATCTGTGACAAATAAGTACAGATCTGTGACAAATTAGTACAGATCTGTGACAGATTTGTAAAGATCTAAGGTATGACCTGTGTGTTTCATATTTCAGTGAAGATCTCATCGTTGACATGCTTTCTGTGGAGAGAAATTATGTCCTGGTCAAGTCCTACCTGATTGGTGGACCTTCAGAGCGAGTCCATCCACCTCGCATCCTCGGTGAGGTAAGACACCACAAACACCAAAGTTATTTGTAAAACCCCTTTTCTAATAATAGATCTTCAATTTTACCTTTGTTTCTGAATAAAGAAATTTATTTACAATCTTTTGAACACAACACTGTTTTTTAATCAACACCGAAGATAAAGACATATTCATAATCAAGTGTTAAAGGTCACCTCAGGGACGGGAGGATGTGACTGGGATCAATCAGTGCCAAATGTCAAACTGCATACGTTCATTTCATTTTGGTGATTTTTTTTTTCTGGGTTATGTCCCTTTGGTAAAACCTGAATAAACATTATATGATGTGCAAGATTATTTGTTCATAGACTTTTACTTAATATATTTCTAATCTTAATTGTCAATAGTGATGTAATTTGGAGGTCATTCACCATGATCAGAGCACCTTGATATCACTTCTGGTACAAGATCTATTTTTGATTCCCAGGATTCTGTCTACCCATATCCATTGTTTTCATCATTTCCTGTTCCGCGGGAATATACACCAACAATAGGAGGGCGCACTACACTAAAACAAGGTAAGGTATAACCTCTGTGAGAGACTCTGAGGGAGAATTTCAAAGTACATAATACTTCTTAAAACATAATTTGTTTCAATTAAACTGTATTTCTTTATGTTAATTTATTTGGGTAAATGTTATCTCATTTGGACTTTGAAAGTAATTTTTTATATATTTGTTCACTTTGAAGTTGAAAATGTTGATATATTTTTAGTTCTACTTTCTTATATTATTTGATGTTGATTTGATTTAAAAAAAAAACATCTAGTAATTACAAAGGCAATAGACATACTTATTTCACAGCTTCCTCTGAAATTTAATTGTTTGTAATATTGTGAGGTTTGATTGCAGCATTTGTTGAATCAGAGGAGGAAGGTTTGTATAGAGTGATTGACAAGTTGATAAGCTGTGTAACTCCGCCCTTTCCTTATCATGCACTCCATGACCTGCACTCACTGTGTTCTATAAACTATAAATATTTTTTTTATGTACTAAGCACAGAATTACTGATAATAATCATTAAATAAAGAATTTTGTCCAAAAAACGAAACAGTGGAAGAGAAACTGGATTAAGTTGTTTACGGGTGACCTGCTATCTTATAATTTGTCTAGTGGTCTGATTATAGGGTCTTGTACATGTCAAAGACTTTTGTAAAAGTATGTAAGGAAAGTAGACAAGGTTCAATTTCTGGTTCCATGTTCGTTAATCCTGAGGTCCCAGGTTTGAGTCCCTGGTTGGAGCTCTTTCCTCCAAGTACACATTACTTAGGGGGTTCAAGTTGACAGGAAGTGATGCTTTTGGGGGGATTAGTGCTGGCAGGTAGTGATGTTTATGGTGGGTAGAGCTGGCAGCCAGTGATGCTTTTGGTGTTTAAGTTGATTGGAACTGATGTTTATGTGTAAGGTTTACAGGTAAATTCATAATTTATCAACTGGATTTCATGTAACTGACTAGATATTAAATAACTGACTAGATATTTAATAACTGACTAGATATTGTTGTTGTAGATATCATCTGTATATTGCTGAACAGACATGATCCTTAGAGTGTATCCATGTTATTCATCCTTTAAAATATTCCTTGCTTATCAGGTTATGCTTTTTCCTTTCAAACTGTCTAAGGCATTCTGGAAAATATGTTGCACTGCAATTTTGATTTCAGGTAAAAACTTATCAGTTACAAAATGGTAAAAATTATGAAAAAACTTTTGAATTATTATTGACAAAAAAATCGTTTAGGCATATGTCACTGACTATTACTGTATTTTGCAATAAGCTCAAGGGGCCAACACATTACCTGTGACTCAAAGTCAGGGGGTTGAGCTTATTACAGAACCTCAGGGGCCAACAAATTACCTCCTCTCAAAGTCAGAGGATGGGCTTATTACAGGACCCTTGGAACCAACAAATTACCTCCACTCAAAGTCAGGGAGTGGGCTTATTATTGGACACCCCGGCCAACACATTACCTCTGACTCAAAGTCAGGGGATGGGCTTATTATAGGACCCCCATGGCCAACAAAGAACCTCCAATCAAAGTCAGGGGATGGGCTTATTACAGGACCCAAGGAGACCCAACACAAAACCTCTGACTCAAAGTCAGGGGATGGGCTTATTATAGGACCCCCATGGCCAACAAAGTACCTCCACTCAGAGTCAGGGGGTGGGCTTATTACAGAACCCCAGGGGCCAACAAATTACCTCCTCTCAAAGTCAAGGGATGAGCTTATTTTAGGACCCTGGGGCTAACAAATTACCTCTTAAAGTCAAGGGGTGGTCTTATTACAGGATACCTTAAGCCAACACATGACCCTTTACTCAAAGTCAGGGATGGTCTTATTTCAGGACTCCAGGAGACCAACGCATAATCTCTGACTAAAAGTCAGGGATGAGGCTGTTTCTGTTAAAATACTGTTAGTATTTTATGGTAGTGATTCTAAGTGGCAGATTTGGATGGGCTTATTACCAGACATAAGTTTGCAGATAAGTGTGATAATGAATCAAAACTTAGAAATGATAAGATAAGCTAATTAGTTAAGTATTATTTGTAAAGTGTGTTGAAGATTTATACATTAACATGCATACTCGTTAGGGTTACCGTGTTGAGTACAGATCTAAAGAGTAGCATGTATGACACAGAGATACTCGTTAGGGTTATCATGTTGAGTACAGATCTAAAAAGTAGCATGTATGATACAGAAATACTCGTTAGGGTCATCATGTTGAGTACAGATCTAAAAAGTAGCATGTATGATACAGAAATACTCGTTAGGGTCATCATGTTGGATACAGATCTAAAGAGTAGCAAGTATGACACAGAAATATCCTGTCATGAGTACAGAAATATTATAGGATATGATATTGCAGTATATTGATTACACATGTATGCAGGAATTTTTTGTATAGACATATAAAGTATTTTGTAATGAGTACAAAACTGACCATGATATATTAAGGAACAACCTTATAGAGTACACACATTTAATAAAAAATTTGACATCCTAGATTGAGTACAGACATGTGAGAAATAACTTCAGTTGTGTAAAGGGAGATAACTGATTGATAATTAACTGTCATATATAGGTAATTATATTTCAGGGGATTTTTACCGCAACGAAAAATTCTCATTTTCATTCAATGTCAATTAACACACAAAAAATAGATTTCAACATTAACATAAAAGTTAAAGATTCTCTTTATCATTTGTTTCATTGAAAAAAAAATTTAAATGATGTGAAAGGTTACTGGTAACGGCTGTGTTCCTTTGTGTACTTATTCAAATGTCCCCCTTGCTTTGTACATTGTCACATATCATGAATTATTCTATGAATGATTTTGCTAATATGCTTTATAACAGGGAACATAAAATTATGGATGAAGTATCTTGAAGTGTGTGGTCCACAGTGAAATGGTAAATGTTTTCTCTTTGTACCTGTGTTACAGAAAATGACTTAACCAAGTTCCTAAGTAACACAAAGACATTCAAAGCTGACCGTGGAAAGACGACGTGGCTGGAAAGATGTAAAAACACCCTCACTAAGATGATAATAGCCAAGTCTGATCAGGTCAAGGGCATGGGTAGGTCATAACCTAATATAGGTCAAGGTCATTTGTAGCTCAATTAACTAATAACAGCAAGAGGAGCTCTAAACCAGAATATAGTTGACGGATGACAAGAATATTTCAACAAAGGTTTACCTGAGGAGGAAATCAAATGAAATCTGTAACGTTAAAGAAAAAAAAATAATAAAAAGTCGTAGAAAGTGTGTAAACTTTCAAGAAATTCTAATTTTATTTCGTTAAGTTCTGCCTTCTGTTTTGACACATACAACTGCTGATGATATTTATTTCATTACTATCAGTAATACAACAGCTACTGGAGACGTGTATTCCCCAGATGACAAAGGTTCCGGAGGAATGTGTCTTTCCGTTACTGGACTATACTGGTAAGTCAATCTCAGACATGTGCTAGTTATACAACACAGACTTATATAGTCCTTCATGGTTTTATGTTTTGTATTTATGTATAGATACACTGTGAACTATAGCAAAGTCTGATATATAGACTGTTTCTAAATTCATTATTTGTGTTTGAGCAAATATGATATGTATATAATTAATGGGGGCTATTTGGGAGAGTGTTTTATGTGTTGAAATGCATAAGCAACTTCTTCTCAACAACTAAAAGGCCAAGGGTCTTGATATTGGGCCTGTAGCATGCTTTTTCAACAAGCAATATGTCCAGGGTAATGGCAATTGTGTGGTGCATGTATAAAGAATATGATTTCAAGTTTGCAGAAAATGTCTTCTATTTAAGCTGTAGTGTAGTTGAGCAATTTATTTTATGCCTATTTGGCCTCTGTCATATTTAGGTGTTTATAGTCAGATGACCCTTAAGGCCCCATGGGCCTCTTGTTTAAAAAGACTACCATTGTAAATCTACTTGTACCAGGTACTTCTTTTAAAGTTCATGGACATATTGAATCAATGAAAAAAAAAAACACGAAAATAAACTTTGACACAATAATTTACATATATTTTTATGTATACTGGTGTATAATGTATCTATTGGGCTGTTTTTATGTGAACTGGCTGAAATAGTTTGTGTGGTTTGGAATTATATGTCAGATGTTGGAAATGTTACATGTGAATCTCAGAATGCACAGTTTCAGAATTTTTCTGCCAAACATAAAATAATCAACTTGTAATTAAAGATATTAAAGATAAAGATATTAAAGAAATGTGTGTGTACATTTTACTCTGTTTTATGCAGAAATTCTGAAAACTAATATGTTACGTCAGTTTCAGACATGAAGAGCTGGCCCCTGTAAACATATGCTAAATATTCCATAATCCAGAATTGGTTTCAAACTGTACTTGGCATTTTTCTTGCAGGTTCAAGCAATTCAGATGTTTAAACACTTTCACGAAAGCAAAATGTATTTAGTATGACCTTGTACAAAGATAGAGATTATGAACAATTTCTTTGAATTCATTTGTATACTATCAGAAACAATTAACCATTTTACATGGTGTTACACAGGTACAGATAGTGCTGTTAAGGCATATCATTTGTCTCCACTCCAGACACTGGGCATCAAGATAGCAATCAGGTTGGTATAGTCTTAATACTGTTTATTGATGTCCTAAAAAATATTGCTTGCAATTATGTAATGATATTGTATTGTTCAGTGAGATATGGTCTTCTCTTAAACCATGCAAATTTTATCATAACAACTTGTAAATTTCAGTGTTCTGTGAAAACTACCAGTAAATTTCAGTGTTCTGTGAAAACTACCAGTAAATTTCAGTGTTCTGTGAAAACTACCACTAAATTTTAGTGTTCTGTAATAGCTACAGTAAATTTCAGTGTTCTGTGATAACTACCAGTAAATTTCAGTGTTCTGTGAAAACTACCACTAAATTTTAGTGTTCTGTAATAGCTACCGTAAATTTCAGTAATAAGTTGAAATACATCATAAATTTACAAGTATGAATTTGAGTTTACATATTCAGCACACAAATCAAATGGTAGTAAACAGTTGCCAGGTAAAGAAAATAAGGCATTTCAGCCTAAATGACCTTTGACCTTATTTGACTTTAAAGGTACGGAATACACCTGAAGTTGATTCACACTTCGTCAGACGTCACAGAGAAGCTTACACACCTGATTAAACAGTGTGCCTGCTTCCTACAGCAGCAGCAGAAATCGGCAGACACCAACATCAGTAGCCTTTTCTTCAGGGGGTGCTTCTGCAGATTACTTACACAAATGCCATTTCTCATTTTCTCTACTCATTCATTCCAATTGTTTCCATGTGTGATTAACTCAGGTGACTGTTTAGGCCCCTGGGGCCTCTTGTTTCAGAATGTGATATTATCAGAAATATAAATACATTTTCTTTTTTTTTTTAACAACAATCACGAAACAAGCTTTAATCTTTTATCAATCACTCTTTTTGGCTCAAATGAAAGTGCGGGATGGGGAAGGGGTCTCACTGTGGAAGAAAACTAGAGTGCCATGGTAAATCCATATGGCTGAGCAGATGTTGCCATACCTATTCACATCTGCACTAGGAATCAAACCCAGGACACAGACACCTACAAGGTGAAAGGGGGTTGCATTTCCACATATCTTTTGAGGGACGGGTAAGATTTTTATGAAATTTGGTGGGTACACTTGTTACCTTAATCCCTTGCTCAAGTTTGATTATTGGCAAATTCTGCGCTTATTAAATCAGGCTGCCGTGACCTGATTTGCTGATTTCCTTTTAATCACTCTTGGATGCTGCTTTCTGCATGATATCTTTTGAAGGACTGGTCGGATTTTGAAGAAAATTGGTTGGTACACTTATTACCTTAATCCCTAGTTCAAAGTTCAAATAACAGTGACTTCCGCGCATATTTCATGAGGCTGCTGTGAGCTGATTGGCTGATTTCTTTAACCACTCTATGGGAAAACTTTCAGCGCATTATCTTAGGAAGGAATGATATAAAATTTTTAGGAAACTTCCTTTGTAGGCTTATTACCGTAACCCCATGGTCTGCCTCTATTTATATTTCGCCCTCGTTAATCTATTTTGGGTTTGATTAATGATTTTGGTGAAATGTCATCCATTTGTATTTGCTTTCCTTAACCTGTATGTAGAGTTCCTACAGGGTAACTATCCCGGGTTTGACTGGTTCGCTGCCACCGTCTTCCTTATCTTCAATGGTAACATAGAGAAATCCTGGCAATTCCTGTACAAGTTCTCAACACTCGGCTGTTCCGGATACCTCTGGACACCACGTCTTCACTCCTCCGTAAGTCTTTGTCCAACAGACTACAGAATTTTGAATAAAAAAAACTTTTTTTCTCCAGTTAACGTTTTGAAATTAAAGGTAACCAATTATGTTCTCACAATTGATAATTTAAGTGAACTAGTTCTGTTTGTTCCTTCTGTACACAGGTCACCTATGTTATCATGTATGTTGCTTGTACAGTAATAATAATGTTTGATTCACAAATTAATGGAAGGTATTTATCATAATTTTATGATAATCCCTCAAGACCAACATGGAAATTCTGGCCAAGAGTAATGGGAAAGAACTTATAGGTTCTGAACTTCAAGGTGCTGAACAGATTGAAATACAGGTGGGCTTATTACCAGACATTTGCTTATTTCTGGATCAGTTAGGAATTAAGATTTTATGACTGTTTCAGGTCCATTTGCCAAGTGCTCTCATGTCCAGTGGTATATCACCACTGTTCTCCAGTACAGGACACAATATTGAACTCATTCTTCAGATAGAGCTCCCCCTGGTGGCCTCAGCCTTCAGAATGTCAGGATACACACCTGCACAGGTAATTTTCCTCTCAGATACTACAACACACCAAAAGATGAACAGTGTCTGTAAGCATATACAATTTTAGGATCCAATGGGATAAGGATATAAGATATCAGTTTTATAGTGATAACTAACAGTATTTCTGTTTGTGGAAGTTCAAAATGATTAAAAAATTGAATAAATCAAGTATGTATATACAACAGACCTCGCTTTGATGGTATGGTGTTCTCTGGGCAACAGCAAGAAGGAATTTAAGATTTATGACAGAGAGTTTGGTTTATAGTTTATCTGGGCTGAGAATTTTTAGCTCTTCAAACAAAAGCTCTTAAATGTGATGTTTAAAGCCCAGATGAATTAATTCCAGTTGCTCATACTGTATGTGAAACAATCCACAACTATGTATCATATCATTGTATTGCAGATATGTGTTCATTGGCTGAAACAGTGTTTCTGGGACTACTTAGACTGGCAGGATATATGCCACTATGTGTGTGTGTGTATCGTCATGGGGATAGACTATCAGGTGTATATGTGTGTGGCAATTCTCCGCCACATGCAGAAGCGCATCATGGAACACATGCAGACTCATGACCTCATCATCTTCTTAAAGGTAGAGAGATTGATGCAGTAGTTTTTGGGAATGATTTTCCAAAAACATTTTGAAATTATACTCAAAAAATATCTAATCTGTTTCACCCTGTTTTTTTTAATGCCCCAATCAATTTAGGTTTGTAGGGAACATGTAGGTGGGCTTTGTCCCATCCTGTTTCGCTCTTGATTAATCAATGTCACCACTCCAGTAATTTTATTTCTTAAAGGATTTTGATAAAGTTTTATACAAAAATGTAATTAATACCTTAGATGAGTTCATTTTTCGGTTACTAAGGTTACTGTTACTATATAAAGAAATTTGGCAGAAAGTGATACTAATATTCATTGGGGTCATTTATGTCTCAGATATATTCTAGTTTTTTCTCACAAATTGCCAACAGTCGGATCACTTGATGTTCTTGTTGTTTTATTCAAATTCCCCTAATTCTGTGGTCCATCGTCCATCCATCCTTCTGTAAAAAGTTTTTTTATAGCTATATATTGAGAAGTATAGGATGAATCTTTCTCAAATTTCTTATGTAGCTTTCCCTTGGTCCCTATTTGTGCCCTTTTGATTTAGGGACTGATCGGGAAAAGTGGCTGACAAACGCCCATATTGGGTTTAATTTCATGGCAGATTGTTATCGCTAATTCCTGAGAGGTACTGGATAGATCTCTTGCAGATTCAATATTTAGGTTCCCCATGGTCCCTTGTGTGCTTTTGATTTGAAGCCTGATAAAGAAAACATTATGGCCAACAGGCCACCATTTGGGATTGTGCCTAACAAAATCTGTTATTGCTATTTTTTGAGAAGTATGAGGTGGAACTCTCTCAAATTTCATATGTAGGTTTCCCATGGTCCCTCGTTGTGCCTGTTTGATTTAAAGACTAATCAGGAAGATTCACAGACCTATAGCCAACATGTTCTATCTGTTGACTCTTGCCGTCTGCCATCCATAAACTTTCCATTTAAATGACTTCTTCTCAATAACCAGTAGTGCTGATATTAGGCCTGTAGCATGCGATGATGTAGGGCTTCTAAGATTGTTAGGTCATCTGACCGGAAGGGTCAGGATGACCTCTAGCCATCCTGTTACGTCCGTCGTCGTGTGTGGTGCGCCACTGCAGTACATAATCTTCCCATTTAAAAGACTTCTTCTCAATCACCAGAAGACTCAGGATAGTGATATTGGGCCAGTATGGGATGAAGGGCTACCAAGTTTGTTCATCTTGACCTACTGTCAAGGACACAAAACAACATCTTCTCAATAACCAAAAGGCTAAAGGTCTTGATGTTGGGCCTGTAGCATGCTTTTTATACGCCCATCAAAAGACAGACGTATTATGGTCTGGCGCTGTCCGTCCGTCCGGCGTCCGTCGTAAACTTATGAAACTTGGTAGGCTTAATCACCATGATATGAAGTTGTGTTTTCCTGAACAGGGTTTTGATTTGGTGATTTGAACAAGAGTTATGCCCCTTTGTTTATTTCACCCTAGAAATCTTGTCCGGAGATCTCCTCCAACATTTTTCAGCCGATCTTTATGAAACTTGGTAGGCTTAATCACCATGATATGAAATTGTGTTTTCCTTTTGAATAAGAGTTATGCCCCTTTGCTGTTTTGGATATTCACGGGCATATTTTTTTCTGTTTTCGGTACTCTTGTTCAACAAGCAATACGTCTGGAGTAATGGCATTTGTGTGGTGACCCTTCAGGGTATATATCTCATGGATCTGGGGGCTCCGTAATACACAGTTTGAGCCCTTTACTGTGTATTACTATCTAGTACAAGTTGCCCTCTAGTGTTGCTTAATTTTAGAGTCTCACACACAAAATTAAACCTGAATATGAAAAATCACTGGTTCATGCATTTAAATACAGAATTTTAAAGTATGAATTATTCTATACAAAATCAATTTTTTTTATGATTTGTTGTGTAACTGTCTTGTGAAATTATTTATTGGTAGATGATACAGGTTTAATAGACCTGTTGTTTAAGTTTCTATTCTTTTTCATTGTAGGAGACAGCTCTTGATGGCTTCCATGTGTCGTCCAATTTGAGATTCATGAATGAACTAGAGAAACGCTATAGAAAGATTGTGTTATCTGATATGTTAAACATATCCAAACCTTGACTTCGGAAAATTCTACTGATATTGAATGAATAGCTCTGATGGACTTGAATCTGGATTAGGAAATCCTGAGAGACAACAAAACAGGAGACACATGGAAGACAGTAATGTTGGTTTTTGTTCAGACAGAGCAAAATGGTGCAATGATTTTTTTCTTTAGGTCACCTGACCATATAGTCATCATGTTTCATCCGCCATTGTATGCTGTCCGCTAGGCATAAACTTTCAATTCAAATAAGGCCCATTGACCTCTTGTTAATCATGGATCCATACCGATAATATTGTCATACTATATTTTATTTACATGCTAGAGAACGTTTTTTCAGTTGTCGGAATTCAAAAGGATCGTGTCGGCGGAAGGGGAAAATTTTTCAAACATGATTATGTATTAAAGATGATATGACAGTGAGTTGGACTAATATTGAGATTATCAGATATGACTTTTGATAAATAGTCTATGAAATGAAGTGTTATTATGAAGTTAAGATTGTATTTTTTCTGTGATAATTGTATTTAGCTGTATTTTTACATTTTTTGTTATATATCATGCAAGAAATTTGAAAATAAAAGAATACAAAAAAAAAAAGAAAAAACAATTTAAAAAAAAATAATAGTTTGAAACATCATTGGGGTTTGGAATCATTTCTTATATATAGAAACTTGATTTGACCCCCAGTAGTGGTTAGTAAATAGTTCTAAAATTCAGAAATCTGATTCGGCCATTTGTTTCAAAACACTACTCCTTCTTATTCCTTGGTAGAGTTCAAATTTCGTCTGAGACATAATTACAGGTTATCATTTTGTAAATTCAGGAAGTGGATTCGATTTCTAGGGACCGAGGAGTAGGCGAGGTCTCAAATGGCCTTAAGCTGTGATTGTGGTCTGTCCATATCACATTCCCTTTTTTCTGATACGGTATTCATCATTCTGTACTATGTATATTAGTGACAAAGTTGAATACAGATATTACAGTACATTCTCATGATCAAATTAAATCATGAATTTTTTGATAATTTATTTTTTGACATTTTCCTGTTTTGTCTTTTATGATGGACTTAAAATAAATTAATATGGTGGACAATTCAAATTTTTACATCCCATTGTAGAAGGAAACATTTTTTGGAGGGTTTTTGTGTATAACTTACTTAGCACCATGAAAATCCTGTTAACTGTTTTCACCACTAGCAGTCAATGTTCAAGATAAGAGGTTCGTTTTTTTGTAAAACTAAAAGAAACTTCAATTAATCCAGGATCACTTTCATTTTTGAGAGCCATTTAACTCCTTCATTGATTTTCCATGACATCATTAATGTTAAGCCATTGTCCAAAATACATGAAATGATGTTAGAAAACCAGATAGGACATTCCGCACCATTTTATTCGAGACATTTTGTGGTAGTCAGGTTGTGTTCAGGTTCACTTACATGACAGCAAATCACAGACGTGGAAAACATATCTAACGATGTTAATTGTTTCCGCGAAAATAAAACCCAGCAAACTGTGCTCATTTCATCTTAATAAAGCACATTTGGTGGAATTTGTCCATGTTTTCACTGCTATGCACTAAATGCACTTATACATGAAACACAGTTCTTCTAGTATGAGATAAAAATACTGGCATTGCAGGTAGGACATACATGTAGCAACAAGACATGTCAGATTCATCCACCCTACTGAGTAGATAGAAATCCACAGGAGGAATATGTCAGATTCATCCACCCTACTGAGTAGATAGAAATCCACAGGAGGAATACATCAGATTCATCCACCCTACTGAGTAGATAGAAATCCACAGGAGGAATATGTCAGATTCATCCACCCTACTGAGTGGATTGAAATAACTACCATACAACATAGAAATCCACAGGAGTAGTACAAAACCCCTTTAGCATGGACACAATGTTAAATTCAGACTTATATCAGCTAATACCAAACTGGCAGATTCCAGAATCCGTCACTTTAGACCAACTAGAACAGGACTTATACTTATCCTCGGACTTTGAAGATGAGCGTACAGACCACCACTGAAGTACATGATAAACTACCTACTATCCTCCAAAACAGAACAGTACACAGAGACTTTCTAGAACTTATCAATTATAATATTCTAATGTCATAACTATTATGAAGTCACTATGTATTTGTAACACTTGTACCACATTTTTATACTTTAGGCATCAGCCGTAATAAATGATGTGTCCTGATGACAGCCGTAAATGGGTGGAAGCATGTAGACATATTCCATATAACGTCGTTGTAGTGAGGAGTGTTGAATCACCCTTTATTTATCATATTTCTATACCTTGTTATGTATTGTTGGGATATTTCCATTACATGTAGTCATGTCATGTGTCATTCATAACTTGTCATTGGCCTCTTGCATTAATGTTAGAGGAGAGGTATACTGAAAGTGGTAAATCTTTAAATCCATTTGTCCGTTCATCTTTGAGTTCATCCATCTGTCCGTCCATCTTGAAGTCCATCCATCTGTCCGTCCATCTTTGAGTCCATCCATCTGTCTGTCCATCTTTGAGTTCATCCATCTGTCCGTCCATCTTGGAGTCCATCCATCTGTCCATCTTTTATTCCACCAACAACAACGAATATTAATTCCATAAGTACTGAATGTGATTTCAATAAATATGAGATCTGTAAGATCTGTTTATATATGTATTTTTCATTATGAACACTGTAGTTTCTTTATAAAAGTACATGGGGTACTAATACAACTAAAATTATGTGATTTTTTCTTTATATTCCCTTTTTGATAAGGTCACACTTTGCAAACCTTTGTGGACAATTTTTGTGTCTTCAAATTTTAAACCTTGGGTATTTATCAATATTGCATCATAACGACTTCTGATGATAGATTCTCAAAAAATTTCCGGAAAAAAAAGAAAAAACTTGATCTTAGGATGAATAGAATCTTGAAATTGTTTCCTGGTCATAAAAGATTTGAGAGATTTAACATGCTATGTGTTAACTTTCAAAACTTGAAAGTTCTAATCAGACTGGTCTTGAATCTCATATGAAATGGAAACTCACACAAGATCCTTGTAATCAAAGTTGTGTGTGATCCATCAGAACCTTTATGAATGCCATCACTTGCAAACATTTTTGTGATTACCATATTTATCTAGCAATAAGCCCATACCTGGTTATAAACCCACTCATGTTTATCAAAATTTGAAAAAAAAAATAAGCAAACAAAAGATGTTATACATGTTTTATAATTATCCATTCTGATCCCATGACCTCCCTGTAATTGAGTTTAAGTGATGGTCTTATTTTAGGATAAATATGGTTACAATTAAATTATGTGTTCACCATACATGTTTTATGTAATGTATGACTTATACATTCCCTAAATAAAGTATTTTAAGAATGCATATTTGAATTTTATTTTGTTTTGTGTTCTCCTGTTGAATATGAATAACAAACATATACTGCCTGTAATGCAGAATGAGTCAATTTAGCATTCATCTAACACTTCAACACTGGCTAAAGGGTCTAAAACAGGAAATCTAAGATCTCAACTCAGCACACAACCATACAATACAACACAATGCACAAACATACAAACCAAATTGACACTATACAAGATCAGCACAAATATATCACATATATAACTATAAAAGTCGGTATATTGAACAGAAATATGCAGAAGGAACTGAGTGGAATCGCAGAAAGCAATAGACATTTGTAAAGTGATAATGTAGCTTAGACAATATGATTGGACAGGTTTTCAAGATGGGACAACAAAAAACAAGTGTTGATTGTAATGTTGATTATAATTTCACCTGTACCGAACTAACCATAGTACAGCGGATGGGACTTTAAACGGTAGCCCGTGTGAAAGCAGGGGCCACGATCCCGTGACCTGGGCAATGCGGTGATATATAACGGTTTTAACAATACCAATATATCATTGTAGCTGATGGCTTTCAAATTGTAACTTTTAAACAACTAACACAATACGCAGAATGTATTCTAAAACACGACGAAAAACAAAACATGCCAGTCACGTGACTCGGCGCTCGATCCATTGTACCTCACCAACATTAACATTATGTCCCGATTCTGCCTGATCCTGTAAATCGTTTTTCGGTTCTTCAATATCTTTTGGGGCCGTTTTCGGTCAATATGAAACTTCAATATTTTAACTATTGTTATTTAGAAACAAAATATTTACACTACGGGCCTGAATTTTACATGTAAACTGCCCGATTCTGTGTGATCCTGTAAATAGTCTTTCGGTCTTGCGCGACACAGTACGTTAGTGAAGAAAATAAATATCTTTTTGGTTGTTTTTGGTCAACATGAAACTATAATATTTTAACTTTGGTCACTTAAACACAGAATAATTATATTGAGAGCAATTAAATACCTGAATTTTACATATAAACCACCCAACTGTGTAAATCGTCTTTTGGTCCTGTGGGGCATATTATTACGTTATGCGAAAAAAAACAGTATCTTTTTTGGTCATGTTTGATCAATATGAAACTATTATTTTTTTAACTGTGGTCATTTAAAACTAAAACAATTACACTAAAAACAATTGAATACCCACATTCTACATATAAACCCGCCAATTCTGTCCGATCCTGTAAATAGTCTTACGGTCTTGCGCGACCAAAACAGATATCGTGGGGTTTTTTTGTAACACTTCTTCATTTTTCCCTTAAAAATGTTCATAATATTTAACAGAAGAGTGTATTAATACAAAGGAAATTCATTAAAATCATTAAAACGGTGAAATTTCAGCCTGATTCTGTCCAGGGACGTATCTACGTTCCTGTTCTGTCCGATCCCGTACACTTTCTAACCTACTCAGCCGATACTCGAATATCTCATACGTCGTTTACAAGACTTGCAATAGTTCAAGGGAGCTAACCCAAGGTCAACCAAGATGGCGACCTCCTTACGAGTTGGGTCGGCATGCTTAAGAGACTTACTACGGTTAGATGGAAGAATAATTAAACAGCAGATAAGACAACGTTGGAAGTGGAGACACAGGGGGAGAAGACCAGAAGAAGCTAAAACATATGTGGAACGTGTCGCCGGTATGTGGTTGATAAGCTTAGCAGTGCACTAGTTGACAGATTCGCCAGTGCACATGAACACGTCGGTCCCTTTGAAACTGTTTATCGATGTTATTCAGTATTGTAAATCATACGTAGGCGACATTGACCTTTTGCATGCAAGAGAAATAATGTAAATATTAACTAACCTTTCTAGTCGATTTCAGTTTATTGTTAAAATCGTTAAATCCTCGTCGGACGAGGGACATTGTCAAACGTCCGATATAAAAGAGTCTAAAAGAGGAATCCCCAAAAGGGATTAATACATGGTCTGCCCCAAAATGTGTAACAAATTAGGAACAAATACTTCTCAGTTAGGAACATACGTGGATTTGAGAGGATATACCTGGAGTCCAGCACGTCCTCTCTTATTAATTACGGAGGATAAATTCCTCTGAACTCTAGACAGTAGTACGCATGTAAGTCATAATGTTTCTTTTCTAAATGAAAAAACATGATACTTTCTTCATAATCGGCCATACATCCAAATAAACTGTATCAAGGTAGCAAACATCTTGAATTGATATTGCCTTATCTGTTTACAATTCAATAAATCACACACTCGGTGCATAATGTTAGTGTAATTGTATTCCAATAGACAGTCACAATAATGTCAATATATTAATAAGTATCAGAGGTGAACTTACAGTATATTTTGGAATGTACTCACCCATATTTTCTGGACAAAGGATTTCATCATTACCAATGACTTGATTGAATAGTTGCTGGGTTTGTCAATTGTTGGAATGCATGTTTTGACAATTTTTTTGTTTCAGATGTTATTGATATAGATGTCTTAACCAGTGAGTGAGAAAAATGCCTTTTTTCTGATTATTTTTAGAGGATCTATGACACTCCTTTACACCATTGTATCTGAAATCAGAAGAGAGAAAAAAACCTCTGTATTGAGAGGATGCATTGGAATTGCAATGTATCCTTACATATTGAAGAATATTCCTTACCTGTTTAAATATCAATATCTATCTTAGATATATAACCAGACTAATGATTGGAGGCAATGCAGGTTGATACAAAATTGTTTCTTTTCTGTTTACAGAACTGACCAAAAATTCACCAAAGATGATAAACATTGGTTTCAAACTACCAAAGAACAAAGGTTTAGAACTTACAGAAAATAAATATGAAGTTTCTGTAAAGGAGTCTGATGAATCTGACAGGATGCGTGTAGATTCTGAAGAAGGTAACCAAACCGTAAGCTCTTAAGTCTTTGTTCGAAGTGGCTGGATTCACAGTTGTAGCCCAATATCTAAAATCTTGAGGGTAGAGTAATGATCCTGGCCAATCTCATATTATGATGATTGTTAAAAGGGTGGAGCAGTTAGATGCTGAAGACTAGCATTCCAATAGCAGTTGGGTACTTTCTTTAATCAAAGGAATGTATTTTACCAGTTCCACTGTTACACAACTCTATATGATTAATTGATACTTTACTTTTTTCATAGTAAGCAATGTTTACTGTAGCACATTATCATTCAGTGGTGATATTCATTCATTCATGTTAAACAAAATGGTTCTATTTCATAGTCAATTTATGGCTTTTTTAAAGCATTCTTCCACCTTATTCTCGTCGTTTACACATGTTGTAAGATCCAGGGGGTGGGGGTTGATGGAATTACAACTATCAAACTAGGGAGGCTTTTATCACTGTTTAGTATACAGTTGAAATTTGTTGTCTCTGATATCACTCAAGTCAAATTTGTCAGTCCCTTCAATTGTAAAGCAAGGGAAAAGTCATTTGTTGTCTCAAAATAAATTTTTGCCAAATATCGACACATCTACTGAGTTTTAGTCACCTGTGCATAACACATGACTAATATCATTCCATAGTATATACAACAAATAATTACACATATTTGTGTTTATATACTCAATAAATCAGAAAGAAAAATATACAGACTGAAAGCTTGCTGGTACAATATCATGTATGTACTAAGTATATTCTGTTCCATTTTTTTCTATACTTTATGAGAAACACCCAAATCCAAACCAGTTCATACAATTAACAAAAAATGATAATGATTGATAATTGACATGTTCAGTTAATTTTTTTATTTTGTGTCCTTGTTTCCAGAGCAGCTGAATTTGAGATCTATATTGAATGACCTGTGGTATAGCTATAGTTGGAGTCAGGACCAACGGGCCGTGGCAGAGCACTATGGACTGTATCGTGACCTCTTCCATAGCGCCTACTTTTACCCACAGTTCCCTCTAAATATCTTCTATGAATATGACAGTGAAACAGACACAGCTGTTTACAACGGAAATATGATTTCTCCATCAGAGGTATTTATTCATGCATGTAACTTTTTGAATTTTCTGTCTGAAGTGATAATGATAGTGCATTTTATCTTTTGTAGTAAATACAAGAATATTCAATCTTTGGAAGGAAAGGGTGTTTACGATAAAATTAAAGGAGCAATGATATATATTTTTCAACATGTCAGGCTTGCTAGAAATGAAAACTTTTTATGAGTTTTATCAAATCGGAAAAAAAAACCACCTGTAAAATGTTTGAATTTCATACCCGGGTAGTTATCTTAAATTGCTTTAGTCATAGAGAACTGACAATTGTTCAATATCCATAACAAGAACTTGCTTATGAGAATGAAGCAGTTCAGGCTTTTTGGAGTAAGTTATGATAGAGAAGGCTTACCATTAATCCAATGTAAAACTGCAGCCTCTTAGTTGTATTGACATGTTGTGTATCAACAGATCTGGTAAAAAATTTTGGTATGCTAGAACCAGAAGTACGTGCTTCACATTCGCAAAAAGTTGTCATATCTTTTAAAAATGCTTAAAAAATGTTATTTTTCAAGTTCAAGATCGCATAACTTTTTTATCTTTCAGTGTTTTGTTACATATTGTACATCACAATGTTAAGATAAACATGCTAATTACAATACGGTATAAATTGATGCAAGATTTTATCTGTTTGATAGGTTTTCGGACCAAAAACTGACCCTTGGTGTACACCTGTGGTTCACTACATTAAATGAGTTATAGCACAGGCCCCTGGGGCCTCTTTGATTTTTTAAACTCATTTCCTGGTTTGTCTCTCAAGGTGCTACAAATAGCACCCTGTTTGGTTGAAATTGGTTCATTGAAAAAATTCTATTTGTGTAAGAGGTCCTTTTATATGAACAAGCTTTGTGGATTAAATTTTATTTTTCTGACAGGTTGATAAAAAGCCAGATGTCGAGTACAACTACAGCCCAAACAAAATGTATACGTTAGTGCTTACTGCTCCCGACAGTCACCTCCAGGAAAATAAAGCAGAGTATTTACATTGGCTTGTGTAAGTTTGGATTGCTCGATGGCAACACATGTTTTTCCATTCTGATAACTATACAGACTGGTATATGTGTGCTTTTGAGAATACTTGCCCACCATATTATGAATTTCTGACATTTTTCAGAATCTTAAAAAGTCTCTCATCTGTATTTGATAGAAACTTGTAAAGAAACAATTTTTCTCTTGTTTTTTCTTCTTCTTTGAAAATACATTCTAGATATATTCAATGAAATGTGATTTTATTTAAATCTTTGGTCTCAGACTTATTGATTAAGTTCCCCTATGAATACTGTCTTGCTTCACTTCCTATATTTTACAGTGGTAACATTCCAGAGGATAATCTTGATAAAGGGGAAGAACTCTGCTGTTACTTGCCACCTTTCCCTGTCCGTGGCACAGGTTACCACCGATATGTGTTTGTCCTATATGAGCAAGAGAAAAAAATAGATTTTTCTCAGGTTAAAAGACCAGAGAATTGGTAAGTAAATGATATAACTAATCACAGGATCTAGTTCCAGGATATCATTTTAGAAATTATTATTTATATGTATAACACAAATGACAAGAATTACACCTGCTATTGCACATCCTCGATACTCCATGATGTTACTCTCACTATTGCTCTCTGCACCCCTGGAATATTTCATGGCAAATTTAAATGTTCCATGTGTAACCCTTGCTAGATCTCGGTAACAGTCAACAGACAAAATTGTTGGTATGCGTCTCATCCATTGATTATATTTAGACAGGAACCTATAAAATTACAAATCTATCACAATAGTACAAATGTAGTTCTCTCAGTTTAAATTTAAAAGCTGAATTACTGAGTACAGTTGATAGTTATGCAAGACTTACAATTATTTGACATAATATATTTAACATTTTATGACTGTAATTATTGAGTGACGTACCAGAGACCCGGAGAGGATTCAATTTGCCTCTGTCCTGTTTGGCAGCATTATGAATAGTGAAAAGGACTGATGAGTTTGCAATTAATTAGTTCTAATTTTGTTTCAGCGTATTTGCTTTTTCAACAGATCCAGATAGAACTGTACATTGGTATATAGTTGTATGATGATAATATGTAGGTCATTTCTTTATTTGAAAATTCAAATCTTGAGTAAAAAATATCTTTTAATTGAAATTTGGTTAGAAGCCGAAGCATGGGACAGCAGTTAATGTATACACAATTTACATTTGTATTATGTGTACAATATAGTTGAAGTGATATCACTTTTACTAACAAAATCCTTTCTATGACATGTAACAAGAACCATTGTGACTCAGGTGACCGTTAAGGCCCATTGTTTAATTTAATTATGATAAGATTTTCACAAAAAATGGTAGTAAACACCAATATTTCTCATGATTCATGGGTATACCTCTTGAAAAATCCCATGCATGTAATGCTAAAAAGTTCCACATTTCTCCGTAGCTATCGTTGGGGTTATCCAAAGTGCGCAGACACATGTAGGTCTTTTATTGTCATTGTTGTTGTCAGGGAAATGTTGGTATTCAGTTTTCTTTCTGTAGTAAATTCCGAGATATATTCAGTGGGGATAGATCTATCAATTAATTAATAATCGCTTTGTCAGCTGAACTTGATAATCAAAACAATTGCCATGCCCCTCCCAGGAGAAATATAACAGCTGTTTAACATCACAATGATGATTTCTGTTTTAGTGTGTCACTAGAGCATCGCACTTTCCGAATGGCAGATTTCTATAAACAACACCAAGATGATATCACACCTGTAGCGCTGGCATTTTTCCAGAGTGAATGGGACGAATCAGTGACAAGAACATTCTGGGACAAATTAGGTAGGCTTAATCTCCAAGTGCTCCAACATACTGATAGTTAAAATGTAAGGTTATATCTGTATTCTTTTAGATGTAACATGGTATTGTGTTGGTCATTTAAAATCATTTGAAACAGTGCAACCTTACATTGTACCATGTATTACCCAAAGTTTGTATATATCACTGATGAGTCCTAGATTGAAGAAACAACTGCATGGTACAGTTTTATTCATTGGTTGGCCACTGTTTCTGACTTAACTTATGTTAAAGGTGCTACTCACTTATGTGTCTTTTGTAAAAGTGACATGGTGGATGTTTTCAATGAAGCAGATGAGACTTAATGAAATAATAATTTGTTAACATTAGTGCGACCCTGAACAGTGGATTTAATTCTGTCCTTCTTTCAATGATACTGACCTGGCTAAACCACAACACTGTGTTTAATTTTGGAGAGAATGTGCAACAGAAAATTAGCAGTTTTTAGGTCACCTGAGACAAAATCTCATGGTGACCTTTTCTGATACCCTTCATCTGGTGTCATGCATCCATTTAACACTTTCAACTTCTTCTCAAAAACCCCAATTTCAAGGAAATTTTGTAGAAACCTTCCCTGGCCCTAGATGAACCACAATTGTGAATTATACAGACGCGGTCCCCCAGTGGCCTGAGGGGTGGGGCAAAAAGGGATCAAATTGACTCAGATTTCAAAATTTTTCTTCTCAAGATCCAGATATGGTAGGATCAAATACTCTTCATGAATGGAAGCATGTTAAGGTGCTTTACCAAAATTGTGAATTTAATGGCCCCAGGGTCTCGCAAATCCCCGTGAGGACGGGGTAAGTTTACTATAGTTTAGATAGGAAAACAAGATTTTTGAGCATAATTTGTTTAATTTCCAATGGAAATATTTCAGACTTGGTTAGAATTATGAGTGAGGGGTGATGGCCTGATAGTATACCCATTTTGATCCTGGCTGACCCCTAGGGACTGATTGGTGGGGTCTAAAGGGGTCAAATGAACTGAAATTTCAAAAATCTTCTTCTCAAGACCCAGACATGGTTTAATGAAATGCTCTTCATGAACGTAAGCATCTTAAGGTGCTTTATGTAACAAAATGAGTCTCACATTTCTTCCTGGGGAGGAATTTTTATTTTAAACTTTACTGTAATTTTCATAGACAAATTGTGTTTATTGAGCATAACGTTGGCTATTTCTCAATATAGGATGACAGTTTTGATGGAATGCATGTATTCAGTGTCACATTTTCTGTTTCATGACACCTGATAACTATCCTTGAACCTCTATATTCAATATTGCTCTCATGTGACCGTCAAGGCCACTAGGCCTCGTGTTTTGTTTCATCTGGTCCATAGCGCAGCGTCTGTCGTCTGTCCAGCATCTGGCATCCAGCATCTTTCAACTTTTTACTTAAATCACAGATTTTAACAGATTTATAATTAGCATTTAAAGTAAGGAAAATTAAAGTCTGGTTTAATTAAAAAGCATATCTTTTTTACTTAACAAGAAAATATTTGGATATGACTGAAAGTTGCATTGAAAAGAAAACAACTATTTTAGAAGTATGTGGTTTTGAGAAACATAAGAAATTAATTTTAATGTAAAAACTTGTTTTTCTTACAAGAGTGCCTGATAATTTCTCTCTTACATTGAATTTCTATTCTTTTATTTCAGAAATGGAGGAGCCATCATTTGAATTCATGCACCCCCCACCCTATCATCCCAAACAAGTGAAGTTCCCCCAGGGGCAGCCCTTCAACTTGTAAGTTAACATAAGTTACAATGTTAGTTAAATACAAGGTCCCCAAGGGGCAGCCCTTCAACTTGTAATTTACCTTCATTGACCAGGTTTGTTAGATACAGGGTCTCTAAGGGGCAGCGTCAACTTGTAAGTTATGTTCAGTGACCAGGTTTGTAAGATATAGGATCCCTAAGGGGCAGCCCTTCAACTTGTCTGTTACCTTCAGTGACTAGGTTTGTAAGATACAGGGTCCCTAAGGGGCAGCCCTTCAACTTGTCTGTTACCTTCAGTGACCAGGTTTGTTAGATACATGGTCCCAAGGGGCAGCCCTTCAACTTGTAAGATAAAGGGTCTCCTCGGGGAAGCCCTTTATTTATCTTGTGTGGCCATTATCAAACCATGTTAATATACAGAAAGTAGAAGGATGGGGCAAAATAGGGAAATATGTGACCAGATTTGGTCAGGAACATATTTTGGGGAAGGGAGCTCAAACAGATGAGGGTAAGGCCTAATACTGGCTTTAGGAAAATATTCTTGAGCATTTTTCAAAGTACAATTCTAGTCATGCCAATGTTAAGTTCTGAGAGGTAGATTCCAAGATATGATTTTGCAGAAGTGTTTGTAGTTATTAGATGAGTGATCAGAACAAAATTTAGAATTGTTATAATATATACTGTATATTTACTGAAAATTTGCTGATGCACCAAATTAAGTATGTTTCTTGTAAACGCATTAATATATTTACAGTGAAATATGAATAATTTTTTCATGTTATATTTACAAAATAATGACCAGTCTGCTCTCTTTAATCTTGATGTTATACTTTAAAGGTACCTTGATAGATATCGGGATGTAAAGGATCTCAACGAGGAAGTTTTAAAGGAGAAATTAAAGACGGCCTCACCACTTTCTCCACCTCCCCCAAGACCAAAATATCCCAATCTTGTAGTGGAGGGATACCTTCCCAAGTGGTTAAGACTAAAGAACAGACACAAGCGACTTCGTGAAATGCATTGGGCAGATCTAGATTGAATTGCTCACAAGTCAATAGCATTTCTTCAGTGATGACACATGTTCGTATGTCTGTTGAGGTTTCAAGCATCATGTTCAGTCCATCAAGGATTTGAGTGTATCTTCGAAATTCATGCAGGATTCAAGTATATCTTCAAACGCCATCAAGGATTCAAGTACCTGTTCGAAGTCCATAAGAGATTTAATTGAAAAGATAAAATGTAGGAAATAAATGTGAAATTTTCTGCCAACTCACAGTTGGTCTATCTAACTGAAGAAAATGTTCTTTTATGAGCAAATGTCCATTGTTTTCTTATGATGGTAGAAAGATTTGATTTGTGACATATGTAAATTCATTGTGTAAGCAAGAGTGGGTGATGAATGTTAAAAAAACAACAACTGTGTAAATAAATATACTAAAATATGATACTGAGTAGTGTTTAATAATAGCACTGTTAACAGGGAAACTTGCGATAGCGGACTAAATTGTTTGTCTCTGCCTGTCTGTCTGTCTGTCTCTGCCTGTCTGTCTGTACATATATTGCAATCCAGACAATCACTTGAGAAAAGAAAGATGGGAATGAATGAAACCTCATTGAATGTTAGGTTTTGAGGTAATACAGAGTGGAATTGAGTTTTGGGGTCAAAAGGTCAACTAGACAGGTCACTGTTACTAAAAATAGACTTTTGTCATCAAATTTTGGTTTCCAGATGATAACTTCAGAAAGGATCGATAGATTTGGTTGTTAGCTTATTAAGTAATATAGAATGGGATTGAGTTTGGGTTCAAAATGTCAACTGGGAATGTCACGGTTACTAAAAATACTTTTATCATCATATTTTGGCATCCTGATGATTGCTTGTGACCGATTGTATTAAAACTTGATACAATCAAATATTATTAGAAAATGTATGAGTGGGAATGAGTTAGGGGTCAAAAAATCAACTGTCACGGACTACAATAGATATTTATCATCCTCTTCAGGGCTCCACATCAAAGCTGCGGGGAGCAAAGTTTGTCAGAATAACACCAGTCAACTGACACATGTTCAAGGTCACTGTGTCAAAAGGTCAAGGTCGAATTTTACATCTTTTCTCCTGTATACTGAAAATGTAACTAGAATGGTTAAATTTGCCCATAAAGGTCAGACACAAAGCCATGTTCTGAATAAGGGATGATAAACTAAATTAAACATCCAGTATAAAGCATAAGGGAGTGTATATAATGGTTTTTCTGTGTTATTTTCTCTTTTTTGCGTCCTTCCTGTCTAGACACTGGTTTTTGGAGGGAAGACTTTCAATTGTTAAAATGAGACATCTGTTCATTGCTATCAAGTTTGCTTAGAAAACTAAATAAATGGCAGGGGACAAGTGTTGCCTGTAACACTAAGTGTAAGTTTGTTTTTTAGGAGATTGTTCCTCGTTAAATGAGGTTGGATTTTTTCTTAATCGATGGGAAAAGTTTGACGGAGGATAATCATGGACAAACCCCAAATCCCGTCACTTTTCTGTTTAGGTAATTGTTCTTCACAAAGTAGTTGTGGCTTTTTAAAGTTAATGGGGAAATTCTTTTGCCTGCCTCCATTTTCTGAATCTGTTACTGCTGGCCATCACATATTGCAAACATGTTTCTAGAGAAAAAAGTAATTAAGATATATAAACATTTACAAGTTACTTGTGACTGTTGATTTCTCTCGTTTAATAAACAAGAAACTCATGACATATCATTCATAATATTTTAATACGAGTACAGCTATTGACAAAGCAATGTGTATACATACAAGTTTTTATGCAATATCTAATGAAATACTTATCTTTATATACAAACTGTTGACTACCAAGCACACAGTATATTGGTGGTTAAAAAAAATTATACCATTCAATATTAACTGGAACCGGGTTTGGCTATGAATCAAATTCTCTGAAAATTAAAACATTAGTGAACTTTAACTTGATGAATTCTACACTAACTATTAGTTATTAGTTAGTACTAACTATTATTGTGATATCAAACAAAAAGTTATTTTTAACTATACAGCCAGAGTTATTTCCCCTCCTCCATACAACTTTCCCATTTTAACCCACATGTACATCAAAAGCAAACAATTATAAAAATATGAGGAATCAATATGAGCATGAATGTTGTTATGAAAAAAAGAACTTCACGATTTTACTGCAAAAATGAGACAAAAACAGAAACCTGACCCAGTGAATCTACACACTTATTAAAATCTAAAATAATCAAAAATGAGACAAAAATGATATAATTTTTATTAAGATCTTGAAAGTACCTAATTTGTAACTTAAATCAATAACATGTTCAGAGGAATCTTTTTTTGCAGTTGACAATGGCAGAATTTACAATTTATTTCCATCTTTTAAATCATCAAAAAACAATTTAAAAAACAAAAAAAATCCATTACACAGTCGGAAATCAAGTATATGTCTACACTTTTGTAAATCACAAAACATTTTAACATTTACTGATCAGGAGAAATAGCATTAACCAATATCTAATACTGGTTTACTATGTATGGCTTTTATTTGTGAAGTACAAATATCCTATGGATAAAATAATGTCTATTTTAGCATATGATGTCTTTGAAAGCAAGTAGAACACTATAACCAAGTACAAATACTACATGCAATAATATCTAAACTACATTTAAAAAGGTATTGTTTTTAAAGGGATATTCTAGATAAATTAAAAATGTCTTTTCAGAAACCATTTTAATGACTTTAAAAAGCATTTTCAGCATCAAAATATCTCCGGTAGTAAATTTGAACTAACAAAATTGATGGGAGACACACCTAGGGAATTCAAAACTAGTTAGTATAAAAGGTGCATATCATTACATGATTTTGAAAACATAACTAGAAGCACAATGTCGGATCATAGCGACCAAAGACTAATTTTTTCTAATTAATCACTTATTTATTTATCAATTTATCAAGAACACATATTCCATACACATACAACAAATAGATACTGTATGAAAGACTGCTTGTAGCTACATAATAAGGACAGATTCCAAAATTTATATGTTTGTTTGCAGTGCATTGTGCAGGTGCAAACATGTGATGCAATCAGGACAATTTGTAAATCAATTTAGCTTGATAAAACTTTTACAAATCAAATATTTTCAGTTGGTTTTTGTGTTTATGACTAACAATTTCCATAAGATCATGTGTCGATACTCCTGTACAATTTTTCTATAAAACGGCATCAACCTATATTCTAATTTGTCCAGAATATTCCTTTAACGTACATGTAATATACATGATGAATTCTAACGAGCCCTTGCTTAACCTAGCCAATTTAATGATAATACCTACACTCAATATATACTGGTATATACTATATTTAATCAATACTGAATACTTTCATTAAACAACATCAATACAATATCACTATATGCAAGCCATTTTCAGTACTTCTTTCCATATATAAAAAATGTGAAATTTAAATATATTGTCCATTTCTAAAAATCATCTTTCAGTCAAAAACTCAATTATTGAGTCTTTAAATGTATAGCAACAGTATCTGCTGGTTACATTAACAAGCTTTTCAGAGCAAGATTTTATTTTTCGTAACAAATGATTTAAAATTACAACACATGTGACAATTAACTGTCATTCTGTTTAAATAAACAGTCACACTTAGCACTAACATTCTGCCAGTAGTGAAACCAATGTTCACCCTTACTTTTTAATTAATTCAATATTTTCTCCGCATACGGAGAACTGTTTGCTATACCAATTCACCACACAAATCAAAGAGTATCAGTACATGTACTATCATAATTAACATATATATTGTTTTTAACAATAAAAGTTTGATGCAGATTAAGTAATGACTAATATAGATGATTGAATTAAGGGACAAGAACTGCTATAAGAACCCACTGATAAAAAACAGACGCTTCTGTATTTTATTGAAAAAATTAAATACGCTACTGCACAAAGTCATTTCCACTAAAGTCCATTTGCTAAAGAAAAGTCGAAGCTGGGCCGCTAGTCACTGGGAGTTGATCTTGGAATACTCATGATCTGTGGATACCTCTCCTTTGACGTCACCGTTGACTGGTACAGTGCAATTCTGAGTGACTGTTCCTGCATGGGCCAAAAACAAGTCCTTTAAAACACTTAGTTCTTTAGAGAGAATTTGAACTTTCTGTTCCAGCATCTCATTCTCATTGCGAAGCCTGTTAACCTGTTCACTTGTTTCTTTTGCTTTGGCGCGGCTCTTCTCACGACTTTTTCGGACAGCTATGTTATTTCTCTCTCTCCTCTTTGTATACTCATCACTTCCTTTCTGGTATCTTGACTTTTTGCTACTGTTAACCTCGCAATCATTGATTTCGTCCTCAGAGTCGGACATGCTGTCGTATCCCATACTTCTCTTTGGAGGCATTCTTACTGATATTGACTTGAGATTTTCTACACACAGACGAACTGTCAAATTGTTCCTATCTGGAATTTTTACTCTCTGACCTGGGAATCTAAAAAATAAAAAAGAAATTAAAAATTATTATTTCATTCCAAAATATGTTTTCTTTCTTCAAATATGTTTTGATAGAAATTTCAGGCAACATTTGCAAAGATGATTTGCTTTGAAGTCATCAGCATATTGACATGAAAAAAAAAACAACAAGAAACATAGAGCTAACAGTTTTTGTACATGATTTCTATTGTAAACCTGTATCTTGTTATGAGTTGGCTACTTCTGGATAACCAGATACAAATGTAACACTAGAAGTATGATGTACTGCCAAACAATAAACATTTAAGAGATTCTCATCAGTTTTACCTTAATTTATCCAAATAAGTCTTGTAGGTAACTTATATAAATGTTAACTATTTATGTTTACAACAATTTCAAAACAAGCTATCAGTTTATATTAATCACTCTTGTTGACTTGGATTAATTGCTTTACAACAATTAATTGTTATGACACAGATGCAAGTTAGCTGAAATGTTTTGCAATGTTGGAAACTATAAAAAAAAATGCCTGATTGCTGACCCTTGCATGGGTCAATTGAATTTGGCATTTTCTTATATAGAGAAATTCTGACTAATGACCACGGCAACGACAAAAATAAGTCACGGATAGACAGTCAGACCCTTCAGACTATACTAAATGCTGTACTGAATGTATTGAAACAGCAGATATATCATGAATGAAGTGCCAGTGTTACAATTTGCACCCTATCACACTGAATCGCTCAGGGGTTAAATATGGACCCCTAACAATGGAAACCTTTGGGATTGATACTAAATGCAAGGTACAGAATACTTCCACAAATCGATCTTGTTCTTATATGAAGCTTGCATCAGACTGTATTTCCTATTTACAGCAACAAAGCATACCCTTGTCTGAGTTTCAATCTTGACCTAACATCAGCCATTTTGTCAAGTACTAAAATGTCTCTCGTCTTCTTCATCAAAATGACCATTACCGAAGAGTGTGAGAGGCTATAAGGATTCCATACCAAGCAAGGCTGTCTGTTTAATATGGTGCACATATAATCAAATTAATCGACACGTCTCTAGCTGGTGAAATACACAGTTACAGACATCCATAAGACCGTAAATAACCTCAAGCCGTACCAGTATAACCTGTAATTGAGCGTTTGTGGATGTAAATTGCGTGTGGCTCCCCTTTTATGACATACTAAAGAACCAGCTTACGTGTAGCGAATGATTGCGACATCATTTTCCTAACACAAATCAAGGCTAAACAGAAACCTTAGATGGAAATCAGAGCTTTCGTAATAAAAACAATGATTTTAACCGTATATATGCTTTTCTACCGCCTGTAAACATATCTTCAACCTGAATTAGTATTTAATAAACATATATTCACCTTCGTACTTGGTAAAAAGTGCTCCCTGTTGTCGAATCTTCTTCCAACTGTCGGCGTTGTATTGTCGGGAAATTGGTAAGAAAATTACTGAGTTTGATAATCTACACAGAATAACTGTGATGCAATAGCGAACCAACCAATGAAAAACGGAAAACCCCTTCTTTAGTAAGCAACGCAACAGATATTGTTTCGCCTTCTCATTGGTCAAATATTTTTTTTAAAAATCGTCTTATGTAAAAGGAGTAGTTTTCATGTAGAATAAAACAAAACATGTAATGAAAAATACAATATTTTTATTAGATGTAAATCTTAGAATATGTCGCAATACATATGAAAATTGAACTTCACGGGCAAAATGGGATAACTAACTTAAAAAAATTCACGCCTTTAGTCCAGGTGATTGGACTGTGTGAAAATAAAGAACGACCGAAGTGTTTAGGTTCTACTATGGTTGGGGATATTCCACTCGCAAAACGAGGCAGACGTCATTTCTAAAAATATGACCAATCAGAAAGCTGTATGATCTCATATACTAAAAATAACGCAATTCATCGAATTAACATGGCGTTGCTGATAATGTAGTTCCACCGGTAAAAGAAATACGTTTTCAATTTCAACGAAGGTGACAATTTCTAGTTTTTCAATTTTCTTTTACTCATTGATATAAAACAATATAGGCATACTTGCATTTTTCTATTGATCAAGGATTGAGGAAATGAAAGTGGATTGTTCTGGCGTATGAATACAGACTGAGTCCGCGGTGTTGCGTTATAAATATAACCACTGACGGGGAAACCGTCATTGGGTATGTCTAACAATCGAAGTGTGAACCTCTCCAACCGCAATCTTAGCGATTCGCGTGTGTTGTACGGACCGAAGTCCGTGTTCCAGTCTAACTTGTCAGCTTCAACAGGCAAGGCGCTGGATATTCCAATTTTATCTTTTAATGACAACAATTTCCCAGGTTCACCATGTCCGAATGGAACCTTGACCACACTCGGCCCGGAGTCCCCTCATCTGTACGATATAGGAATTGAAGAGCTGAAGAAAGCATTTTTTGTTGTGAATGGGGAAGAAGAAAAAGTACAGTTACCTGACCTGGATCCTATGCTTGAGAATTCAGTAGACATTGACAAACTTTTAAACAGTCAACTTATTGGCGACACAAACTTGGAGGAATATATTTCTCTCGACTTGGAAGGTGGTAACGCCTCTGGCGATTTGGATACCGGAAACGAAGTTGTGAACGAAAACATTCAACAAGCTCTGAAAGAATTCTCCTCAAGTGTTCAACCTGAATCGAAATATATGCAGCGAGGTCAGACTGTTGAGGAACTTTTAGGGTCTGAGGGGGCAGGGTGGCGACAAGTGGTCACTATCAAGCCCGAGGACTTGGGACTGACCTCCTGTCAGTCCAACGTTGTACTGGAACCGGTCACTCAGCAGTTAACAGCATCAGCATCGTGTCAGAGTGCCCCACCCACCCCTCCGCGTACTCCAGCACCCTTATCACCAACTCCGAGTACAGCATCGTCTACTACGGAGCCAATTTCACCTCGAGGCCCCCTCCCCAGGGGTAGACCGGGTCGCAAACCATCCGGTGCCGGGCCAGTCAGGCAAAGTAGAAAACGTCAACTTGACAAGGACAGCGAGGAATACAGGGATAAACGCATGCGAAACAACGTGGCCGTTAGAAAAAGCCGAGATAAGGCAAAACTTAAACAAGTGGAAACTGAAAATCGTGTAGACGACTTAGTGAGTGAAAACGAGTCGCTACAGAAAAAAGTTGAACTTTTGTCAAAGGAACTTAACGTTCTGAAAAGTCTTTTCGTCAATGTTGGTGCGGCTTTACCAGAGAACTTTCTTAAACTCGTCGCCGATATCGGAAAATCCTGACGAAAAATTGACTCTTAATTGTGTAAATAGCTTCTCTAATTTTTTAAGTATTTGTTATGGTAGTGAATTGTGCAGTTACCGAAATAGAAACAGTAATGGCACGGATGAAAATGGCAGCAACTATTCCCATTCAAAGTGTAAATTGACAGATATGGACACTTTACAAATGAGAAATGGATATCATAATCAACAACATCAACATTACGTCACACGGGACCAGCAATGGACCAGAACATTAATTTTGAACTTTCGTGTGTTATTGGACTTGTTTACACATGGTGAGACCTGCTGGAAACAATCGTACAAACAATGCGAAAAGAGATTTAATATTTTCAGCAACGGTAATGTTTGTGCTGAAAACCATTTACAGTGTTTCTTTGCTAGTTTTTCTACTTTTGGTATACAATATAGTTCAATATGTTACATAAAATTTGTAAAAATCAAATGGTATTAGTTTGTGCTTATTCAAATGTGTATATATATATATAACTATATACCCATAGGAAAAAGGTGGATGCAGTTTTATATAAACAGAGCACACATATAGTAGACGGCAAATAAATGGCTATACTCGGGATATTTTGAGCACCTTTCTATTTTATGTAAGTTTTGTGCCGTTTTTTTATATGTTTGTTCTGTTGATTTGTTCTGCATCTTTGACCGAGAACAGAGATTTTCTTAAACTTGTCATTTACCGACTGTACTCGTGAAAAAAAATCTTGAATTCTTATCTCCTATATGTTGAAATGGTCCTTGGAATGTTATAAAGTGCAGAAATGCATAATTGTCCTTTTCTTGTATCCAGTGTCCCTACTTCTAAGAATGAAATATTGTTTTTCATTTTGGGTTGATAAAATAGAATTGGGTAAATGCAAGGCACGTGAAAATCGCCATTAAGAAATCGGACAAGTGACTCGAAATATCTGACACTTCGAACTACATAACTGTTTTATTAGAGACTTCAGAATACACAATACAATGCAGAAATGAATGGTCGTCATTTCCTTGTATTCAGTGTCCTCTACTTCTGAGAATGAAACAAACATTTTCTCCTTTTTACATAAAAATAGAATTGGGACAAAAATTTGAAAGAAATATTTTTTATAGCGGACTACAATGTAGTGAAGATGTTAAAAGTCCACAACAGACCGATTTCAATTACTATTTCAAGAACTGGATTCTGGTTATCACTACGTAAAAATATCCATTAAAAATACAAGTAACCCGTACATAAAAAGATTTAGCAATGACTCCAAAGCGACATTCCATATCACCAGTAGGTTGGTTACGTACAAGTCGTTCGAGCATGCAACTGCAAGAGACCACACTTCAAGAGATGTGTGGTTCGAGCCCTGTTCGGGACGCTGTAAGTTTCTATAGAAATTAAGATAACAACAGTTCCGTGCTGTCGTGAGTGTTTTTGGGGAGAGACACTCTACCACAGGTCAAAATATTTTATTTAAGTGTCAGTCACATAGTGTACATATGCAGTATTCATTCATAAAACGTACCCGGTGAAAGCTGACTTACCAGGCACTTCATTACAGCGTAAATTATTACATAAGAAATACTGACACTTTAAATAAGATTCATGAAAACTTAACAATAGTCGGAATAATCTGAATTTTTCTGGATCCATCAAAATGACGCAGTTAACTAGACAAGCTATTCCACATGGAACACACACAGGGAAGTCCGTGAGACGGATGATGAATTGTATCCGAGATTCTATATATAGATGTCTGACACTTCAAGCGAAGTGGAACTACACGGTAGAAGTTTGAAAAAAGTTAATTTACTGCTAATTTCGCTCTTGATGAAAATTAATTAGTCAATTAAATGCTAATTACACTTTTGATAAAATTTCTTTTTTAAATTAAAATGGTCTCCTATGACATGTAGTCGCGTGCTGAATATTCCCAAACCTCACACGACAATTTCTAGAAGAGAACCAACATAGGGCATTTATCCTACCTGAAGCAACTTGCTAAGGGTTGAAAACCGCGGGAACACTCCAAGAAATCTCCCATCAATAATAACGTTTCCTAGATACTTAAGCTTGACAGACAAATAGAAAATTCAGGAATCAAGATTAAACATGTAATAAGAATCGAAATCAAACGTTTTTGTCTTTATTTCATTTTTTTACAAGTGTTCTTTCAATTATCTGTAATAATGTCGATAATAATCCATTCAAGCCGATTTTATGAGCCAAAACATGACCAAAAGTAAACAAAAATATAATTTTGATATAAGTTATGAGATTCCGAAAATCTGTTTAACCAGTGTACAGAATGGTGGCGATGGACTGGATGATCCTCGTACAATGTAAAAAAAACTATTGGAATAGTCAAGAAAATGTTAATAGGGGAACATCATTGGTCTGGATATACATAACTTGGATAATTTAACTTTCACTTATATGTCCATCAGTGTTCAGGAGAAGCGAGGGGACGCCCTTTATCCCTGTTTGGTTCGTCTTGACCATGTGTCCATTCGGTACGTTGAGAGAGTCGGTCAGGGTCTCTGGATTTATCCTTGTCTGTGGTTAGACTTGACCCTGTCCATTCGGTACGTTGAGAGAGTCGGGCAGGTTTTATCCCTGTCTGTGGTTAGACTTGACCATGTGTCCATTCGGGACGTTGAGAGAGCACTGGCATTTAGCATATCTCAAGAGGCCCCTAAGGTTCTGTCTATACAGCCGTCTTCTGTCTGATAATATCGCTCCAGTGATCGGGTTTATTTGAAAACTGGTTACCTAAAGGGGTTGTTGAATATTCCAACTGTAACTGTTCTTTTCAATCATTTTATTTCCTTATTCCACATTAGTCGCCTCAATTGGTAACATTTGCAATTGATACAGCGACAGTCTTTAAATTGTAAATACATTGATCTAAATGATACATTAAAATACTTTTGAATTTAAGTTTCGGGGAGGAGCACATTGGTGTTTGAACGGCAGATACAACATGGTCATGCCTTCAAGACGCATTTAATACCACTTGGATGGTTGAAAAAATACATTACATGTTTGGAGACCCGCGTTGGTAGAACATCACGGTTGGTTACTGACACATAAATAATGTGTGGTGTTGAAATACAACCAGAATCTATAGATTGGAATCAGGGGAATACCTACAGAGTAATAATAAACACGAAGGCAGGATGATATACAAAGAGAGGTTACTATCGATATAAACGAAACATATTTTTACAAATAAATACACATTCTCATGTTTGAATTTTCTTATTTATTGAAAACACATCTCTCAGAATTCAATATTGATGAAAGTTCAATGAGGAACGGTAAACGATATTCAGAACAGTACTCAACGTCAGAAACAGTACATAACATCCGGTACAGTGTACAACATAAGGAGCAGTACATAACATCCGGTACAGTGTACAACATAAGAAGCAGTACATAACAGCCGGTACAGTGTACAACATAAGGAGCAGTACATAACATCCGGTACATTGTACAACATAAGGAGCAGTACATAACATCCGGTATAGTGTACAACATAAGGAACAGTACACAACATCCGGTACATTGTAAAACATAGGGAGCAGTACATAACATCCGGTACAGTGTACAACATAAGGAGCAGTACATAACATCCGGTACAGTGTACAACATAAGGAGCAGTACACAACATCCGGTACATTGTAAAACATAAGGAGCAGTGCATAACATCCGGTACAGTGTACAACATAAGGAGCAGTACACAACATCCGGTACAGTGTACAACATAAGAAGCAGTACACAACACACGTGACAGTGCACAACATCCGGGAGAGTACACGACTTCAAAAACAGTACATACTCTGCGTAAAGGTTGGTGATGTAAACATGCTTTAGAACTCTGCTCATCACCACATCCGGTAAATTGTCAGCGTTTTGTATATACAGAACTTTCTCGAATCTGATGAAAAATGACAAAATACAACCCTGACACGCAAAACTACACCATATCGTCACCTAACAACTTTAAAAAAGAAGGTGAGGAACAAGTTCTAGGTAATTGTCTTGTATGTAACTGCCCTCTGCTTGAATGTGATATCGATACATTCTGAATCAACTGGAATATATTGTTAACCAAATTTAGACAGCTTCATCAAAACAACGTGTTCATCCATCATACTCTTTAGCACAATACCAATGCCACATACCAAGTTCAGTGAGCAGCGACAACACGGGGTCCAATAACCGCGGAACCTTTTCTTAACTTGACCTATTTACAATGACGAGCTACCCAGAAGTTATAAAGGAGTCTCGCAGATGTCCGGAGTATATTGCGTCCCACATAACCCCATAGCGTTATAATGATATATCCTCTAACCCGAAGTAAATGGTTCGATATTCGGTAACCCGAGATAACGTTTCGCATGATACATTTGAGTTCAATGTGCTTAGATACCATATAATTTGAGGAAGAATAAATTAGAAAAACCAAAGCGTAAAAACTAGCTGAGAACAATACAATATTCACGAAAGGAAGGAGTTCCATAAATTTTCGGTTGAATACATTGTCGCCAAGTAAGCTTTGCCATGTTTACTTCCCACAATGAAATACAGCGGTCCGAACGGCGTTGCCATAATTAATGTTATAAGGTAAATGTTTCTTATCTAGACCGAGAAAATGTTTTGACGCCTTCGAGTTCGAGGTAAAATTTTCGACATTTTTGTCTCCAGGAGAATGGCTCGATAACCTCTAACCCGAAGTGAATGCTTTTAAAACCTCTAACCAGCGAAAAAATGTTTTCAAATCCTCCTTACAAGGGAAATGCTTTGGTACCCTCAAATCCATGGGGAATGGTTTTGATACCCCCTGGCCCAAGAAAATATTCCGGTACTCTTTAACTCGAGGAAATAGGATACCCTCCAACCCGAAATATCATTTAACACGCGTATGTTTAAGTACCAATATAACTCGAGGACTGTGTTTCGGTAACCTCAAATCAAGGACACGGACCATAAGGGACACACGCTACATCATAACATTACCCGCTCAATAGGTTTATGTTGATTCAATTATAGAGATACGATAGGAACGGTGGATCGATAGTCCATAAGTCTGGGTGGATAGATCACTTGGAGCAATAGCGGTCACACATGAAATATTGATAAGTGACCATATCAATAATGCACGCGATTTTCTTGCGTTTTATTAACGTCCTATGATTCCAAACAAAAGGTCCAGCTCTGCCAAAGTAATTGATTTTGGTTTTTTTTCTAATATGGCCACAGCATCATCAATTACCTAGACAAATCAGCTGATATTGTGAAATGTACAGATTTGTCACGTGCAAATCTTGTATCAGGAAAAGTATTCACATCAGCATTTGAAAACCGATGTGACTCGCTATAGTTTACATCCATGCCATTGTTGTGGGTAATATTACTACCAGCTTTGATTTTGAGATTTTATTTAAGCATTTTTA